CCTCCACCGCCCCCGCCAGTTCCACCCGCGCCCTTGCCCCCCTTGCCCCTGCCAGGGCGGCGTCTCCCGCTAGGGGCAGACGCCGCGCAGACCGACTCAAGACCAAGCAGGTCGGCAGCAGCAGCAGAGGCAACAGAGGGCAGCAGGGGGGAAGGAGAACACCCCTCAAAGATGGGGGTGCGAGGGTCACCACGAGAGGCTCCTACAGCGACGATGCTCTTCTCCGCCGCCAGGAGGGACTTCTCGAGGAGGTCGACAGTGAGAGTGGTGGGACAGACTGAGAGGAAGTGGTCCCTGACTACGCGAAGGGAGTCAGGGAGGCGTGTGACTATGTAATAGAGAGTGATGTACATGGGGGGGGGGTTCTTGGCGCAGAACTCAGCAGGAAGGGCGGCGCGGTAGCGAGTGTCACTAGTGCGGAGGTGCGTAATGAGGTCAGCGACAGTGGGAAAGGCAGCAAGGTCAGGAAAGAGGTACGGTAGCATGAGGCGGCTCAGGGCAGCAGTGGCAGGGGAAGAGTAGCGCGCAACTACAGCGTCGTACAAGGTCTGAGCACTCTTGTACTGACAAGTGCGCGCGCTCAGTGGTAGGCAGGTGGCGACGCACAGCAAGACGTGCAGCAGCATCGCGGGTGGCCCACTGAGAGCGAACAGTGGGGTCAGCATCAGCAGCAGGGGCAGGAGAGGCGCCAGAGGTGAGGTCAAAGAGGGAAAGACCGTCCGCCCTATCGCACTGTAAGAACAGCTGCAGGTCGTCGACCCAGACCTCAAAGTCAATGGCTCGACCCTCAGCGTCAAAAGCGAGGACACTAGGGGTAGCCATGACGACGACAGTGTAGTAGTGCAAGCAGTAGGGGAAGGGCACGCAGTAACAGTGGTGCTGTGCTTACCAGGCAGGGCAGGTCGGGCGGCTCGGCAGTAGGGCGGCCCGGCGGCTGGGCGGCTCGGCGGCTCGGCTGCTGGGCGGCTCGGCTCCCGGGCGGCTCGGCGGCAGGGCGGCTCGGCGGCAGGGCGGCTCGGCGGCTCGGCTCCCGGGCGGCTCGGCGGCAGGGCGGCTCGGCGGCAGGGCGGCTCGGCTCCCGGGCAGCTCGGCTGCTGGGCGGCTCGGCGGCAGGGCGGCTCGGCGGTCGTAGGCGGCGGGGCCGGTGAGGATAGGCGGCGGGGCCGGTACCGTAGGCGGCGGGGCCGCGAAGTGGGGCGGCGGGGCCGCGTAGGTGAGGGCGGCGGGGCCGCAAAGTGAGGGCGGCGGGGCCGCGACGTGAGGGCGGCGGGGCCGCGAAGGTGAGGGCGGCAGGGCCGCGTAGGCAAGGGCGGCGAGGCCGCGACGTGAGGGCGGCGGGGCCGCGACGTGAGGGCGGCGGGGCCGCGTAGGTGAGGGCGGCGGGGCCGCGTAGGCAAGGGCGGTGGGGCCGCGACGTGAGGGCGGCGGGGCCGCGACGTGAGGGCGGCGGGGCCGCGACTTATGGGCGGCGGGGCCGCGTAGGTGAGGGCGGCGGGGCCGCGACGTGAGGGCGGCGGGGCCGCGACTTAAGGGCGGCGGGGCCGCGTAGGTGAGGGCGGCGGGGCCGCGACGTGAGGGCGGCTGGGCCGCGACGTAAGGGCGGCGGGCTCGCGTAGGTAAGGGCGGCGCAACGGGCCGCTAGGGGCGACACGGAGGGTCGCTAAAAAAAAGGAAAGCGCGCCTCGGGGCGCGCTTCGGTGGGCCCTAGAAACAGTCCCTAGGAGGGGACCTGCTCTGATTCCATGTGGGAAGGAGAACGCGAATGGATGAACTATGAATGAAGTGAGTACATATAGGAAACCCTAATTGGGTTGTACCCCCTATGGGATACCCCACTATAGCCTACACAACAGCATAAGCTATATAATGTTCTGACAGTTTGTTTCTCGTGACTGAAGTTGAACGATTCCTTGTCGTCGTGTGCGTAGGCTTTCGTTGTTGGCGACGGTGATGACTACTTCACGTTGGAGTTGGTACTCTCGTTGCACGAAGCGTCCTGAAGAACATATGTGTTGTCCGCAGCAACTGTCCAAGAACCACGTGTCCTTTCCGGATGGCTCGCTTTGGGCGATGGCTGCGTATGTCGGATCCGGCTGGAGTGAATCGCGGTGAGGTGTGGTGTCGTCGAGTTGTTCTTCCGGTGACTAGTACGGTGGTGATCCCGTGATGCAAGAGTCGCTCAGTCTTGCCATGCAACTGACGATGTTCCTTGCTCCTTGTGCAAGTTGTCCTGTTGAGGTCGTTGAGGCTTTAATCTGGGTCGTAGGATTTGCTTGTGTTGAGGCGACTTGATTGCTTGAAGGTCGAAGCTGCCGCTGTGAAGGCGTTGACTGTTGTCGATTCGGGCAGTGCGTGCGCGGGTGCCCTGACGTTTTGCAGATGTGGCAGAACGGAGGTACGGGCTTCGGTTGTTGTTGTTTGTTGTTGTTGTAGCGTCGCTGAGTGTGGAATGCAAATTCCGGTGCTGATGTCTTCTTCTTGTGTCGTTCTTCTTGCAGGTCCATGTCGTGTTGCTCGGCATGGATTTCGGCGCAGAGTGCTGCTTCGGAGATTCTTCCGTGGGCTCGGAGAATGGCCTTTGTGGCGCGCCATTGAGGACCGAGGCCGCCAATGATAACTGTCACGAAGGCATCTTTTGAAATCGACCCTCCGCATCGAAGAAGCTTGTCGCGCAACTCGCGACATCGGCTGATATACGCCATTCCTTTTTCGCCTGGTTTCATTTCGACCGTTGTCAGTTGCGCCATTAACCGACTTTGATTTACGCTGTCTGTTGCTTGATACAGGCTCTTCAAGTGGTTTTGTATGCGAGCTCCGCGGAGTTGCCGTAACCCCGGTAAGACCGTATATTCTGCTGTTGGTTCGGGGTGATGTTTCTCAGTAGAATCGTGTACGCCATCATCGACTGATAGGTGTACTGCTGCTTCTCATACTGTGTGCTGTTCGTTGGGTATGGCAGGGACCCGTCGAAGAAGCCAAGTATCTGCGCGCCTTCCATCATTAACTCGAATTCAAACGACCAGGTGAAGAAATCCTTTCCATCGAAAGGTCTTGACGTCTGCATCTTCAGAACGTGCGCGAACTGCGACTGAACTTGTAATGCGTCCAGTGACTTTTCTTGTCCAGGTGAAGGCTGCGGGTGTGGCATAAAGCTGATGGACCCGCGCTCGTACGGAGCAAAGGTAGGCTGCTGCTGTTGATTTCCTCGTGCGTATGATGAGCCGTCGAGACTCATGGGAGTTGCTCCGTTGTTGTTGCTATTGTGTGACTGCGCAGGTGCCGATTGCTGGTGTTGCTCGTAGAAGGACATGAAGGAGAAGAATTTCTCCATCATGCTCCGGTCGAAGTCTGCAGGTTGATTCGCAGGAGTCTCGGTGGATGTTGCCCTGGGTCTTGTTGCCGTACCCTCCTCTGTCTGTAGGCCAGAGGCAGGAGGTGGAGTAGGAGTAGTGCCCTGGGAGCCGTTGGAGGAGCTCCTTTCCTTTTGTGTAGCCATGCCTGTTGATGTTGTCGGTATCTTAATAGAAGTTGAATTCTCCCTGACTGCTCTCATACCATGTTGGGCTGAGAAAATCCCTTAGGATCTTTGCAGGGGTGAACTCTGGGTAGGACTGATGTAATAGCGGAAGCGTTTAATGAAGAGTTGTGAACCACCTTGCGCTAATATGTGAGGGCAAAGTAAGTTAATATTAAAACAGAGAGATACAAGATTATATAAGAGTACAAGGAATATGAAGGGGTACAGTTATAACTGTTGCTGTTGCGGTTCGATACAGTGACGACTCGGGCAACTGCTCTGTAGCGAGTCAGTTGTGTGTCCTTGCTGTCGCGCTGTACTTTGTCAGGGCAAAGGTCGCTGACCTTTGACTTTCGCGTAACCTCCAACAGTTACTTTCAACCTCCGAGGGTTGACTCGCCGGTGCTTCGATATGCTTCGCTTTTGTTTGTGCCTTAGTGTTTCGACACGACAGAGGCACTTAAGATCGATTGTTTCCAACACAGGGAAGTCGAGCCGACGAAATGACAGATTAAATGAGACCTTTCGTATAATCGTGTCAGTGAGCGATTTTCGGCTGTGTTTTGTGCATTCAGGCTCAGCAGCTTGCTATGACAAAAACATATGTGGAAACGGATTAATTAGCTGGATAATCTTCATCCCCACCAATCATAACGCAGCCTCTGCGAGTGCCAGGTCAGCAAGATCCCATCTCTGACGTCAGCAGGGAGCTTTGCGTTGACTCCACTGCGCATGTAGAAGTGGGAGAGCGTTCTGAGCACAGACTCGAGAGAGGAGGTGATGGTCTGATCGGGCGAAGGGACGGGGAGGAGAGGGGGTTGGGGAGGAGAGGGGGTTGGGGAGGACGGGAGGCAGAAAAATGTGAAGGGATCATTGAAATCGCTTCGCAAAGAGAGAGTATTATGAGCACGAAGTTGAGAGAGGAGGTGATGGTCTAAGGAGGGCAGGAAGGGAGGAGAAGGGCAGGGGGAAACTGTGAAAAAAGGAAAACAAGGCAACCTGGACCTGGCACTGGATGCACTAGACTGCGCATGTAGAATCACGAAGGTGTTCTGAGAACGGGCTTAAGAGAGGAGGTGACGATCTGATTGGGATAAAAGGAGGGGAGAAAAGGGGGGGAGGGGGGCAGGTAGGGAGAAAATGTGAAACAGGGGAATGGTTGACATTGCATTCAATCCACTGTGCATGTAGACGTGTGAAAGTGTTCTGAGAACAGAGTCGAAAGAGGAGGCGTTTGATTGCATGGGGAGGAGAAGTGAAGAGGAGAAAAAGGGAGGGAACAGGGCAGGGAGAGATTGTGAAAGGGGAATAAGATGCAGCCAGGGGGTCAAAGCTAAAAAGCATTCTGACAACAGGGTCGAGAGAGGAGGTGATGGTCTGATGGGAGAGGAGAAAGGAGGGGAGGGAGGAGAAAAGGGAGGAGGGTAGGGAGGAAATGTGTCATAAGGAGACGGCTTGGCGATGAGTCCACTCCAGTGGGCACTTAGAAGCAGGAACAGGGCAGGGAGAGAATGTGAAAGGGGAACTTAGAAGCAGGAACAGGGCAGGGAGAGAATGTGAAAGGGGAACATAGAAACAGGAACAGGGCAGGGAGAGAATGTGAAAGGGGAACATAGAAGCAGGAACAGGGCAGGGAGAGAATGAGAAAGGGGAACTTAGAAGCAGGAACAGGGCAGGGAGAGAATGTGAAAGGGGAACTTAGAAGCAGGAACAGGGCAGGGAGAGAATGTGAAAGGGGAACATAGAAACAGGAACAGGGCAGGGAGAGAATGTGAAAGGGGAACATAGAAGCAGGAACAGGGCAGGGAGAGAATGAGAAAGGGGAACTTAGAAGCAGGAACAGGGCAGGGAGAGAATGTGAAAGGGGAACATAGAAGCAGGAACAGGGCAGGGAGAGAATGTGAAAGGGGAACATAGAAACAGGAACAGGGCAGGGAGAGAATGTGAAAGGGGAACTTAGAAGCAGGAACAGGGCAGGGAGAGAATGTGAAAGGGGAACATAGAAGCAGGAACAGGGCAGGGAGAGAATGTGAAAGGGGAACTTAGAAGCAGGAACAGGGCAGGGAGAGAATGTGAAAGGGGAACATAGAAACAGGAACAGGGCAGGGAGAGAATGTGAAAGGGGAACATAGAAGCAGGAACAGGGCAGGGAGAGAATGAGAAAGGGGAACTTAGAAGCAGGAACAGGGCAGGGAGAGAATGTGAAAGGGGAACATAGAAGCAGGAACAGGGCAGGGAGAGAATGTGAAAGGGGAACATAGAAACAGGAACAGGGCAGGGAGAGAATGTGAAAGGGGAACTTAGAAGCAGGAACAGGGCAGGGAGAGAATGTGAAAGGGGAACATAGAAGCAGGAACAGGGCAGGGAGAGAATGTGAAAGGGGAACTTAGAAGCAGGAACAGGGCAGGGAGAGAATGTGAAAGGGGAACATAGAAACAGGAACAGGGCAGGGAGAGAATGTGAAAGGGGAACATAGAAGCAGGAACAGGGCAGGGAGAGAATGAGAAAGGGGAACATAGAAGCAGGAACAGGGCAGGGAGAGAATGTGAAAGGGGAACATAGAAGCAGGAACAGGGCAGGGAGAGAATGTGAAAGGGGAACATAGAAACAGGAACAGGGCAGGGAGAGAATGTGAAAGGGGAACTTAGAAGCAGGAACAGGGCAGGGAGAGAATGTGAAAGGGGAACATAGAAGCAGGAACAGGGCAGGGAGAGAATGTGAAAGGGGAACTTAGAAGCAGGAACAGGGCAGGGAGAGAATGTGAAAGGGGAACATAGAAGCAGGAACAGGGCAGGGAGAGAATGTGAAAGGGGAACATAGAAGCAGGAACAGGGCAGGGAGAGAATGTGAAAGGGGAACATAGAAACAGGAACAGGGCAGGGAGAGAATGTGAAAGGGGAACTTAGAAGCAGGAACAGGGCAGGGAGAGAATGTGAAAGGGGAACATAGAAGCAGGAACAGGGCAGGGAGAGAATGTGAAAGGGGAACATAGAAGCAGGAACAGGGCAGGGAGAGAATGTGAAAGGGGAACATAGAAACAGGAACAGGGCAGGGAGAGAATGTGAAAGGGGAACTTAGAAGCAGGAACAGGGCAGGGAGAGAATGTGAAAGGGGAACATAGAAGCAGGAACAGGGCAGGGAGAGAATGTGAAAGGGGAACTTAGAAGCAGGAACAGGGCAGGGAGAGAATGTGAAAGGGGAACATAGAAGCAGGAACAGGGCAGGGAGAGAATGTGAAAGGGGAACATAGAAGCAGGAACAGGGCAGGGAGAGAATGTGAAAGGGGAACATAGAAACAGGAACAGGGCAGGGAGAGAATGTGAAAGGGGAACATAGAAGCAGGAACAGGGCAGGGAGAGAATGTGAAAGGGGAACTTAGAAGCAGGAACAGGGCAGGGAGAGAATGTGAAAGGGGAACATAGAAGCAGGAACAGGGCAGGGAGAGAATGTGAAAGGGGAACATAGAAGCAGGAACAGGGCAGGGAGAGAATGAGAAAGGGGAACATAGAAGCAGGAACAGGGCAGGGAGAGAATGTGAAAGGGGAACATAGAAGCAGGAACAGGGCAGGGAGAGAATGTGAAAGGGGAACATAGAAACAGGAACAGGGCAGGGAGAGAATGTGAAAGGGGAACTTAGAAGCAGGAACAGGGCAGGGAGAGAATGTGAAAGGGGAACATAGAAGCAGGAACAGGGCAGGGAGAGAATGTGAAAGGGGAACTTAGAAGCAGGAACAGGGCAGGGAGAGAATGTGAAAGGGGAACATAGAAGCAGGAACAGGGCAGGGAGAGAATGTGAAAGGGGAACATAGAAGCAGGAACAGGGCAGGGAGAGAATGTGAAAGGGGAACATAGAAACAGGAACAGGGCAGGGAGAGAATGTGAAAGGGGAACTTAGAAGCAGGAACAGGGCAGGGAGAGAATGTGAAAGGGGAACATAGAAGCAGGAACAGGGCAGGGAGAGAATGTGAAAGGGGAACATAGAAGCAGGAACAGGGCAGGGAGAGAATGTGAAAGGGGAACATAGAAACAGGAACAGGGCAGGGAGAGAATGTGAAAGGGGAACTTAGAAGCAGGAACAGGGCAGGGAGAGAATGTGAAAGGGGAACATAGAAGCAGGAACAGGGCAGGGAGAGAATGTGAAAGGGGAACTTAGAAGCAGGAACAGGGCAGGGAGAGAATGTGAAAGGGGAACATAGAAGCAGGAACAGGGCAGGGAGAGAATGTGAAAGGGGAACATAGAAGCAGGAACAGGGCAGGGAGAGAATGTGAAAGGGGAACATAGAAACAGGAACAGGGCAGGGAGAGAATGTGAAAGGGGAACATAGAAGCAGGAACAGGGCAGGGAGAGAATGTGAAAGGGGAACTTAGAAGCAGGAACAGGGCAGGGAGAGAATGTGAAAGGGGAACATAGAAACAGGAACAGGGCAGGGAGAGAATGTGAAAGGGGAACATAGAAGCAGGAACAGGGCAGGGAGAGAATGAGAAAGGGGAACATAGAAGCAGGAACAGGGCAGGGAGAGAATGTGAAAGGGGAACATAGAAGCAGGAACAGGGCAGGGAGAGAATGTGAAAGGGGAACATAGAAACAGGAACAGGGCAGGGAGAGAATGTGAAAGGGGAACTTAGAAGCAGGAACAGGGCAGGGAGAGAATGTGAAAGGGGAACATAGAAGCAGGAACAGGGCAGGGAGAGAATGTGAAAGGGGAACTTAGAAGCAGGAACAGGGCAGGGAGAGAATGTGAAAGGGGAACATAGAAGCAGGAACAGGGCAGGGAGAGAATGTGAAAGGGGAACATAGAAGCAGGAACAGGGCAGGGAGAGAATGTGAAAGGGGAACATAGAAACAGGAACAGGGCAGGGAGAGAATGTGAAAGGGGAACTTAGAAGCAGGAACAGGGCAGGGAGAGAATGTGAAAGGGGAACATAGAAGCAGGAACAGGGCAGGGAGAGAATGTGAAAGGGGAACATAGAAGCAGGAACAGGGCAGGGAGAGAATGTGAAAGGGGAACATAGAAACAGGAACAGGGCAGGGAGAGAATGTGAAAGGGGAACTTAGAAGCAGGAACAGGGCAGGGAGAGAATGTGAAAGGGGAACATAGAAGCAGGAACAGGGCAGGGAGAGAATGTGAAAGGGGAACTTAGAAGCAGGAACAGGGCAGGGAGAGAATGTGAAAGGGGAACATAGAAGCAGGAACAGGGCAGGGAGAGAATGTGAAAGGGGAACATAGAAGCAGGAACAGGGCAGGGAGAGAATGTGAAAGGGGAACATAGAAACAGGAACAGGGCAGGGAGAGAATGTGAAAGGGGAACATAGAAGCAGGAACAGGGCAGGGAGAGAATGAGAAAGGGGAACATAGAAGCAGGAACAGGGCAGGGAGAGAATGTGAAAGGGGAACATAGAAGCAGGAACAGGGCAGGGAGAGAATGTGAAAGGGGAACATAGAAACAGGAACAGGGCAGGGAGAGAATGTGAAAGGGGAACTTAGAAGCAGGAACAGGGCAGGGAGAGAATGTGAAAGGGGAACATAGAAGCAGGAACAGGGCAGGGAGAGAATGTGAAAGGGGAACTTAGAAGCAGGAACAGGGCAGGGAGAGAATGTGAAAGGGGAACATAGAAGCAGGAACAGGGCAGGGAGAGAATGTGAAAGGGGAACATAGAAGCAGGAACAGGGCAGGGAGAGAATGTGAAAGGGGAACATAGAAACAGGAACAGGGCAGGGAGAGAATGTGAAAGGGGAACTTAGAAGCAGGAACAGGGCAGGGAGAGAATGTGAAAGGGGAACATAGAAGCAGGAACAGGGCAGGGAGAGAATGTGAAAGGGGAACATAGAAGCAGGAACAGGGCAGGGAGAGAATGTGAAAGGGGAACATAGAAACAGGAACAGGGCAGGGAGAGAATGTGAAAGGGGAACTTAGAAGCAGGAACAGGGCAGGGAGAGAATGTGAAAGGGGAACATAGAAGCAGGAACAGGGCAGGGAGAGAATGTGAAAGGGGAACTTAGAAGCAGGAACAGGGCAGGGAGAGAATGTGAAAGGGGAACATAGAAGCAGGAACAGGGCAGGGAGAGAATGTGAAAGGGGAACATAGAAGCAGGAACAGGGCAGGGAGAGAATGTGAAAGGGGAACATAGAAACAGGAACAGGGCAGGGAGAGAATGTGAAAGGGGAACTTAGAAGCAGGAACAGGGCAGGGAGAGAATGTGAAAGGGGAACATAGAAGCAGGAACAGGGCAGGGAGAGAATGTGAAAGGGGAACTTAGAAGCAGGAACAGGGCAGGGAGAGAATGTGAAAGGGGAACATAGAAGCAGGAACAGGGCAGGGAGAGAATGTGAAAGGGGAACTTAGAAGCAGGAACAGGGCAGGGAGAGAATGTGAAAGGGGAACATAGAAGCAGGAACAGGGCAGGGAGAGAACGTGAAAGGGGAACATAAAAGCAGGAACAGGGCAGGGAGAGAATGTGAAAGAGGAACATAGAAGCAGGAACAGGGCAGGGAGAGAATGTGAAAGGGGAACATAGAAGCAGGAACAGGGCAGGGAGAGAATGTGAAAGGGGAACATAGAAGCAGGAACAGGGCAGGGAGAGAATGTGAAAGGGGAACATAGAAGCAGGAACAGGGCAGGGAGAGAATGTGAAAGGGGAACATAGAAACAGGAACAGGGCAGGGAGAGAATGTGAAAGGGGAACTTAGAAGCAGGAACAGGGCAGGGAGAGAATGTGAAAGGGGAACTTAGAAGCAGGAACAGGGCAGGGAGAGAATGTGAAAGGGGAACTTAGAAGCAGGAACAGGGCAGGGAGAGAATGTGAAAGGGGAACATAGAAGCAGGAACAGGGCAGGGAGAGAATGTGAAAGGGGAACATAGAAGCAGGAACAGGGCAGGGAGAGAATGTGAAAGGGGAACTTAGAAGCAGGAACAGGGCAGGGAGAGAATGTGAAAGGGGAACTTAGAAGCAGGAACAGGGCAGGGAGAGAATGTGAAAGGGGAACATAGAAGCAGGAACAGGGCAGGGAGGGAATGTGAAAGGGGAACATAGAAGCAGGAACAGGGCAAGGAGAGAATGTGAAAGGGGAACATAGAAGCAGGAACAGGGCAGGGAGAGAATGTGAAAGGGGAACATAGAAGCAGGAACAGGGCAGGGAGAGAATGTGAAAGGGGAACATAGAAGCAGGAACAGGGCAGGGAGAGAATGTGAAAGGGGAACATAGAAACAGGAACAGGGCAGGGAGAGAATGTGAAAGGGGAACTTAGAAGCAGGAACAGGGCAGGGAGAGAATGTGAAAAGGGAACATAGAAGCAGGAACAGGGCAGGGAGAGAATGTGAAAGGGGAACTTAGAAGCAGGAACAGGGCAGGGAGAGAATGTGAAAGGGGAACATAGAAGCAGGAACAGGGCAGGGAGAGAATGTGAAAGGGGAACATAGAAGCAGGAACAGGGCAGGGAGAGAATGTGAAAGGGGAACATAGAAACAGGAACAGGGCAGGGAGAGAATGTGAAAGGGGAACTTAGAAGCAGGAACAGGGCAGGGAGAGAATGTGAAAGGGGAACATAGAAGCAGGAACAGGGCAGGGAGAGAATGTGAAAGGGGAACTTAGAAGCAGGAACAGGGCAGGGAGAGAATGTGAAAGGGGAACATAGAAGCAGGAACAGGGCAGGGAGAGAATGTGAAAGGGGAACTTAGAAGCAGGAACAGGGCAGGGAGAGAATGTGAAAGGGGAACATAGAAGCAGGAACAGGGCAGGGAGAGAACGTGAAAGGGGAACATAAAAGCAGGAACAGGGCAGGGAGAGAATGTGAAAGAGGAACATAGAAGCAGGAACAGGGCAGGGAGAGAATGTGAAAGGGGAACATAGAAGCAGGAACAGGGCAGGGAGAGAATGTGAAAGGGGAACATAGAAGCAGGAACAGGGCAGGGAGAGAATGTGAAAGGGGAACATAGAAGCAGGAACAGGGCAGGGAGAGAATGTGAAAGGGGAACATAGAAACAGGAACAGGGCAGGGAGAGAATGTGAAAGGGGAACTTAGAAGCAGGAACAGGGCAGGGAGAGAATGTGAAAGGGGAACTTAGAAGCAGGAACAGGGCAGGGAGAGAATGTGAAAGGGGAACTTAGAAGCAGGAACAGGGCAGGGAGAGAATGTGAAAGGGGAACATAGAAGCAGGAACAGGGCAGGGAGAGAATGTGAAAGGGGAACATAGAAGCAGGAACAGGGCAGGGAGAGAATGTGAAAGGGGAACTTAGAAGCAGGAACAGGGCAGGGAGAGAATGTGAAAGGGGAACTTAGAAGCAGGAACAGGGCAGGGAGAGAATGTGAAAGGGGAACATAGAAGCAGGAACAGGGCAGGGAGGGAATGTGAAAGGGGAACATAGAAGCAGGAACAGGGCAAGGAGAGAATGTGAAAGGGGAACATAGAAGCAGGAACAGGGCAGGGAGAGAATGTGAAAGGGGAACATAGAAGCAGGAACAGGGCAGGGAGAGAATGTGAAAGGGGAACATAGAAGCAGGAACAGGGCAGGGAGAGAATGTGAAAGGGGAACATAGAAAGAGGAACAGGGCAGGGAGAGAATGTGAAAGGGGAACTTAGAAGCAGGAACAGGGCAGGGAGAGAATGTGAAAGGGGAACTCAGAAGCAGGAACTGGGCAGGGAGAGAATGTGAAAGGGGAACTTAGAAGCAGGAACAGGGCAGGGAGAGAATGTGAAAGGGGAACTTAGAAGCAGGAACAGGGCAGGGAGAGAATGTGAAAGGGGAACATAGAAGCAGGAACAGGGCAGGGAGGGAATGTGAAAGGGGAACATAGAAGCAGGAACAGGGCAAGGAGAGAATGTGAAAGGGGAACATAGAAGCAGGAACAGGGCAGGGAGAGAATGTGAAAGGGGAACATAGAAGCAGGAACAGGGCAGGGAGAGAATGTGAAAGGGGAACATAGAAGCAGGAACAGGGCAGGGAGAGAATGTGAAAGGGGAACATAGAAACAGGAACAGGGCAGGGAGAGAATGTGAAAGGGGAACTTAGAAGCAGGAACAGGGCAGGGAGAGAATGTGAAAGGGGAACTTAGAAGCAGGAACAGGGCAGGGAGAGAATGTGAAAGGGGAACATAGAAGCAGGAACAGGGCAGGGAGAGAATGTGAAAGGGGAACATAGAAGCAGGAACAGGGCAGGGAGAGAATGTGAAAGGGGAACTTAGAAGCAGGAACAGGGCAGGGAGAGAATGTGAAAGGGGAACTTAGAAGCAGGAACAGGGCAGGGAGAGAATGTGAAAGGGGAACTTAGAAGCAGGAACAGGGCAGGGAGAGAATGTGAAAGGGGAACTTAGAAGCAGGAACAGGGCAGGGAGAGAATGTGAAAGGGGAACATAGAAGCAGGAACAGGGCAGGGAGAGAATGTGAAAGGGGAACATAGAAGCAGGAACAGGGCAGGGAGAGAATGTGAAAGGGGAACTTAGAAGCAGGAACAGGGCAGGGAGAGAATGTGAAAGGGGAACTTAGAAGCAGGAACAGGGCAGGGAGAGAATGTGAAAGGGGAACATAGAAACAGGAACAGGGCAGGGAGAGAATGTGAAAGGGGAACATAGAAGCAGGAACAGGGCAGGGAGAGAATGAGAAAGGGGAACATAGAAGCAGGAACAGGGCAGGGAGAGAATGTGAAAGGGGAACATAGAAGCAGGAACAGGGCAGGGAGAGAATGTGAAAGGGGAACATAGAAACAGGAACAGGGCAGGGAGAGAATGTGAAAGGGGAACTTAGAAGCAGGAACAGGGCAGGGAGAGAATGTGAAAGGGGAACATAGAAACAGGAACAGGGCAGGGAGAGAATGTGAAAGGGGAACATAGAAGCAGGAACAGGGCAGGGAGAGAATGAGAAAGGGGAACATAGAAGCAGGAACAGGGCAGGGAGAGAATGTGAAAGGGGAACATAGAAGCAGGAACAGGGCAGGGAGAGAATGTGAAAGGGGAACATAGAAACAGGAACAGGGCAGGGAGAGAATGTGAAAGGGGAACTTAGAAGCAGGAACAGGGCAGGGAGAGAATGTGAAAGGGGAACATAGAAGCAGGAACAGGGCAGGGAGAGAATGTGAAAGGGGAACTTAGAAGCAGGAACAGGGCAGGGAGAGAATGTGAAAGGGGAACATAGAAGCAGGAACAGGGCAGGGAGAGAATGTGAAAGGGGAACTTAGAAGCAGGAACAGGGCAGGGAGAGAATGTGAAAGGGGAACATAGAAGCAGGAACAGGGCAGGGAGAGAACGTGAAAGGGGAACATAAAAGCAGGAACAGGGCAGGGAGAGAATGTGAAAGAGGAACATAGAAGCAGGAACAGGGCAGGGAGAGAATGTGAAAGGGGAACATAGAAGCAGGAACAGGGCAGGGAGAGAATGTGAAAGGGGAACATAGAAGCAGGAACAGGGCAGGGAGAGAATGTGAAAGGGGAACATAGAAGCAGGAACAGGGCAGGGAGAGAATGTGAAAGGGGAACATAGAAACAGGAACAGGGCAGGGAGAGAATGTGAAAGGGGAACTTAGAAGCAGGAACAGGGCAGGGAGAGAATGTGAAAGGGGAACTTAGAAGCAGGAACAGGGCAGGGAGAGAATGTGAAAGGGGAACTTAGAAGCAGGAACAGGGCAGGGAGAGAATGTGAAAGGGGAACATAGAAGCAGGAACAGGGCAGGGAGAGAATGTGAAAGGGGAACATAGAAGCAGGAACAGGGCAGGGAGAGAATGTGAAAGGGGAACTTAGAAGCAGGAACAGGGCAGGGAGAGAATGTGAAAGGGGAACTTAGAAGCAGGAACAGGGCAGGGAGAGAATGTGAAAGGGGAACATAGAAGCAGGAACAGGGCAGGGAGGGAATGTGAAAGGGGAACATAGAAGCAGGAACAGGGCAAGGAGAGAATGTGAAAGGGGAACATAGAAGCAGGAACAGGGCAGGGAGAGAATGTGAAAGGGGAACATAGAAGCAGGAACAGGGCAGGGAGAGAATGTGAAAGGGGAACATAGAAGCAGGAACAGGGCAGGGAGAGAATGTGAAAGGGGAACATAGAAAGAGGAACAGGGCAGGGAGAGAATGTGAAAGGGGAACTTAGAAGCAGGAACAGGGCAGGGAGAGAATGTGAAAGGGGAACTCAGAAGCAGGAACTGGGCAGGGAGAGAATGTGAAAGGGGAACTTAGAAGCAGGAACAGGGCAGGGAGAGAATGTGAAAGGGGAACTTAGAAGCAGGAACAGGGCAGGGAGAGAATGTGAAAGGGGAACATAGAAGCAGGAACAGGGCAGGGAGGGAATGTGAAAGGGGAACATAGAAGCAGGAACAGGGCAAGGAGAGAATGTGAAAGGGGAACATAGAAGCAGGAACAGGGCAGGGAGAGAATGTGAAAGGGGAACATAGAAGCAGGAACAGGGCAGGGAGAGAATGTGAAAGGGGAACATAGAAGCAGGAACAGGGCAGGGAGAGAATGTGAAAGGGGAACATAGAAACAGGAACAGGGCAGGGAGAGAATGTGAAAGGGGAACTTAGAAGCAGGAACAGGGCAGGGAGAGAATGTGAAAGGGGAACTTAGAAGCAGGAACAGGGCAGGGAGAGAATGTGAAAGGGGAACTTAGAAGCAGGAACAGGGCAGGGAGAGAATGTGAAAGGGGAACATAGAAGCAGGAACAGGGCAGGGAGAGAATGTGAAAGGGGAACATAGAAGCAGGAACAGGGCAGGGAGAGAATGTGAAAGGGGAACTTAGAAGCAGGAACAGGGCAGGGAGAGAATGTGAAAGGGGAACTTAGAAGCAGGAACAGGGCAGGGAGAGAATGTGAAAGGGGAACATAGAAACAGGAACAGGGCAGGGAGAGAATGTGAAAGGGGAACATAGAAGCAGGAACAGGGCAGGGAGAGAATGAGAAAGGGGAACATAGAAGCAGGAACAGGGCAGGGAGAGAATGTGAAAGGGGAACATAGAAGCAGGAACAGGGCAGGGAGAGAATGTGAAAGGGGAACATAGAAACAGGAACAGGGCAGGGAGAGAATGTGAAAGGGGAACTTAGAAGCAGGAACAGGGCAGGGAGAGAATGTGAAAGGGGAACATAGAAACAGGAACAGGGCAGGGAGAGAATGTGAAAGGGGAACATAGAAGCAGGAACAGGGCAGGGAGAGAATGAGAAAGGGGAACATAGAAGCAGGAACAGGGCAGGGAGAGAATGTGAAAGGGGAACATAGAAGCAGGAACAGGGCAGGGAGAGAATGTGAAAGGGGAACTTAGAAGCAGGAACAGGGCAGGGAGAGAATGTGAAAGGGGAACTTAGAAGCAGGAACAGGGCAGGGAGAGAATGTGAAAGGGGAACATAGAAGCAGGAACAGGGCAGGGAGGGAATGTGAAAGGGGAACATAGAAGCAGGAACAGGGCAAGGAGAGAATGTGAAAGGGGAACATAGAAGCAGGAACAGGGCAGGGAGAGAATGTGAAAGGGGAACATAGAAGCAGGAACAGGGCAGGGAGAGAATGTGAAAGGGGAACATAGAAGCAGGAACAGGGCAGGGAGAGAATGTGAAAGGGGAACTCAGAAGCAGGAACAGGGCAGGGAGGGAATGTGAAAGGGGAACTTAGAAGCAGGAACAGGGCAGGGAGGGAATGTGAAAGGGGAACTTAGAAGCAGGAACAGGGCAGGGAGAGAATGTGAAAGGGGAACATAGAAGCAGGAACAGGGCAGGGAGGGAATGTGAAAGGGGAACTTAGAAGCAGGAACAGGGCAGGGAGAGAATGTGAAAGGGGAACATAGAAGCAGGAACAGGGCAGGGAGAGAATGTGAAAGGGGAACATAGAAGCAGGAACAGGGCAGGGAGGGAATGTGAAAGGGGAACTTAGAAGCAGGAACAGGGCAGGGAGAGAATGTGAAAGGGGAACATAGAAGCAGGAACAGGGCAGGGAGAGAATGTGAAAGGGGAACATAGAAGCAGGAACAGGGCAGGGAGGGAATGTGAAAGGGGAACTTAGAAGCAGGAACAGGGCAGGGAGAGAATGTGAAAGGGGAACATAGAAGCAGGAACAGGGCAGGGAGGGAATGTGAAAGGGGAACTTAGAAGCAGGAACAGGGCAGGGAGAGAATGTGAAAGGGGAACATAGAAGCAGGAACAGGGCAGGGAGAGAATGTGAAAGGGGAACATAGAAGCAGGAACAGGGCAGGGAGAGAATGTGAAAGGGGAACTTAGAAGCAGGAACAGGGCAGGGAGAGAATGTGAATGAAAGGGGAACATAGAAGCAGGAACAGGGCAGGGAGAGAATGTGAAAGGGGAACATAGAAGCAGGAACAGGGCAGGGAGAGAATGTGAAAGGGGAACATAGAAGCAGGAACAGGGCAGGGAGAGAATGTGCAAGGGGAACATAGAAGCAGGAACAGGGCAGGGAGAGAACGTGAAAGGGGAACATAAAAGCAGGAACAGGGCAGGGAGAGAATGTGAAAGAGGAACATAGAAGCAGGAACAGGGCAGGGAGAGAATGTGAAAGGGGAACATAGAAGCAGGAACAGGGCAGGGAGAGAATGTGAAAGGGGAACATAGAAGCAGGAACAGGGCAGGGAGAGAATGTGAAAGGGGAACATAGAAGCAGGAACAGGGCAGGGAGAGAATGTGAAAGGGGAACATAGAAGCAGGAACAGGGCAGGGAGAGAATGTGAAAGGGGAACATAGAAGCAGGAACAGGGCAGGGAGAGAATGTGAAAGGGGAACATAGAAGCAGGAACAGGGCAGGGAGAGAATGTGAAAGGGGAACATAGAAGCAGGAACAGGGCAGGGAGAGAATGTGAAAGGGGAACATAGAAGCAGGAACAGGGCAGGGAGAGAATGTGAAAGGGGAACATAGAAGCAGGAACAGGGCAGGGAGAGAATGTGAAAGGGGAACATAGAAGCAGGAACAGGGCAGGGAGAGAATGTGAAAGGGGAACATAGAAGCAGGAACAGGGCAGGGAGAGAATGTGAAAGGGGAACATAGAAGCAGGAACAGGGCAGGGAGAGAATGTGAAAGGGGAACAAAGAAGCAGGAACAGGGCAGGGAGAGAATGTGAAAGGGGAACTTAGAAGCTGGAACAGGGCAGGGAGAGAATGTGTAAGGGGAACTTAGAAGCAGGAACAGGGCAGGGAGAGAATGTGAAAGGGGAACTTAGAAGCAGGAACAGGGCAGGGAGAGAATGTGAAAGGGGAACTTAGAAGCAGGAGAGCATTACGATGGGGCGAGTTGAGAGAGGAGGTGATGGTCTGATTAGGAGGGGAGGGGGGAGGAGAGGAGGAGGGGAGGTGGCAATGAGGGGAGGAGGGGAGGTGGGAAGGAGGGGAGGAGGGGAGCTGCGGAAGAAGGTAGGAGGGAAGGAGGGGAGTAGGGGGAACGGGGAGGAGAGGTGAAGGGGAAGGGCGGGAGGAGGGGAGGACGCTAGGGAGAAAGTCTCAAATAGAGGGAGGATTGTCATTTAATTCTCTGCACCAGGCATGAAGAAGCAGGAGAGCATTGTGAGAGCAGAGTCAAAAAGAGGAGGTGATGTAGTGGGTAGTGGGGAGAGGGAGGAGCGGGAGGAGAGGGAGGAAAGTGGGGAGAGGGAGGAGCGGGAGGAGAGGGAGGAAAGTGGGGAGAGGGAGGAGAGGGAGGAAAGTGGGGAGAGGGAGGAGAGGGAGGAAAGTGGGGAGAGGGAGGAGAGGGAGGAAAGTGGGGAGAGGGAGGAGAGGGAGGAAAGTGGGGAGAGGGAGGAGAGGGAGGAAATTGGGGAGAGGGAGGAGAGGGAGGAAAGTGGGGAGAGGGAGGAGAGGGAGGAAAGTGGGGAGAGGGAGGAGCGGGAGGAGAGGGAGGAAACTGGGGAGAGGGAGGAGCGGGAGGAGAGGGAGGAAAGTGGGGAGAGGGAGGAGAGGGAGGAACGGGGGGAGAGGGAGGAGAGGGAGGAAAGTGGGGAGAGGGAGGAGAGGGAGGAAAGTGGGGAGAGGGAGGAGAGGGAGGAAAGTGGGGAGAGGGAGGAGAGGGAGGAAAGTGGGGAGAGGGAGGAGAGGGAGGAAAGTGGGGAGAGGGAGGAGAGGGAGGAAAGTGGGGAGAGGGAGGAGAGGGAGGAAAGTGGGGAGAGGGAGGAGAGGGAGGAAAGTGGGGAGAGGGAGGAGAGGGAGGAAAGTGGGGAGAGGGAGGAGAGGGAGGAAAGTGGGGAGAGGGAGGAGAGGGAGGAAAGTGGGGAGAGGGAGGAGAGGGAGGAAAGTGGGGAGAGGGAGGAGAGGGAGGAAAGTGGGGAGAAGGAGGAGAGGGAGGAAAGTGGGGAGAGGGAGGAAAGTGGGGAGAGGGAGGAGAGGGAGGAAAGTGGGGAGAGGGAGGAGAGGGAGGAAAGTGGGGAGAGGGAGGAGAGGGAGGAAAGTGGGGAAGAGGGCAATGAGGTGCAGACGAGGGGGATAGAGTGAGACGACCTGACCACGCATTAGGTGAAAGGAGCGTTCCTTTCAACCCCTCAAACCTTTTCCCCAAGCGTCTTCAGCATCCCCAAGCATCTTCAGCATCCCCATGCATCTTCAGCATCCCCATGCATATTCCCCAACTTCCCTATCCTCTGCTCTCACCTCTGTGCAATCTGCCGAGTGACATTCCCTTGCCACTCCCCATAAAGTCTGCTAGTAATAGCATAGCTTTTTATTTGTTATAAGACTGCTAAAAAATCGTTTCCTCCCCTCCCCTGTGCTCACCTCAGTGTTCTCTGGCGCTTTCCCCCGCCACTCCCCCAGGTACGCGCGGATCGCGCCCTTAGCCACCTCCGCCTTGCGCCGGAACTCCCCCCGGTCGCCCTCCTCCGCGCCCAGCGCGTCGCGCAGGCTGCTGATGAGCGCCGTCACGCTCTGCACGTACGCCTTCGGAAGCCGCCGCCCGCTCGCTGTGAGCTCCTCCGAATCGAACGCGGATCGGAGCCCTTTCAGCAGGTCGCTTCCGCCCGCGGCGGCTGCGGCTTCCGCCGTTGCGGCGGCGTCCGCGGCGGCGTGCGCGACGGGGGGGGAGAGAGGGTGGGTAGCGGGAGATACGGGGAGAGGGTGGCGGAAGCCAAGGCGAGGAGTCCGCCCGCGAGCGCGGAGCGTCTGGGGAGGGCTTCGAGGAAAGCGGAGGAAGCGACGGAAGGGGAAGTGGCGGAAGTGGAGGGGTGGGCGCAAGGTTGGTTCCCGGCCTGCGCTGAGGCGTGAATTAGGGCAATGGCGGAAATGCGGCCGCACCTGGAACAAAGGACTGGCGCGGGGAAAAGGGCGGAGGGAGCGAGTGCAAGTCGGGACGAGAGTGTAAAGGTTAAAAAAAAGGAAGAGCCGAAGTAAACAAGAGAATTCTACCAAGAGCTAAGCAACATAGTCGCCCGCTCTTCAAGTAGTGGAGCAGTAAGGTGGAGCAGTAATCAACATCCACGGCTGCTGCGTACGACCATCAACATCCACACTCTTGATCATCTATTAGGTACACAACGCACCCACGGGCATAAATGCTCACCTCTACTTCTACAGCATCCCTTCGTCGTCAGTTTCCCACTCATCGTCGCTTCCCCAATCTTTGCGACTGCTTTCCCGTAAGATCTCCACACGTGGAAGCCCAGGAATCGCATTGATCGTTTTATCGAAAGCAGGGCAATGAACAATCTCAAGAGAGTAAAGGCGGCCAAGCTTGGACATGGAATCAGGCAAGCTCGTCAGTTCGTTCCAAAAACGAAGGTTCAGCCGCTCCAGTCCCAAGAGGTTACCAATCTGGGGAGGAAGGGTGTTGAGATCCGGAACACCAGACAGAACAAGGGATGTAAGGCTGGATAGTCTGCAAATATTGGACACGAAGGCTTCAGCTGAAGGTACTCCTCCAGCCTGGCCACCATTTCTGCAGCTGTATGGCCAGTCAAACTCCAGTTTCACTAAGTTCGTGCAGTCTTGGAAGAGAGAAGTCGGAACCTCGGTGATGGCACCGCATCCTTTCAGGACGAAGGATCGGAGGTCGGACAGCTTTGAAATGGAGCCTGGCAGCTGCGTCACTCCGAGATCCCTGAACTTCAGACGCTGCAGTGAAGATACGTCGCCGATGCTTCGCGGAAGGCTGGTAAGATCCCAGCAGTCGGTGACCATCAGGCGACGGAGGTTGGGAAGTTGACAGAGGGAATCCGGGAGCGATTCGAACCAGCATTTGTCAATCTGAAGCATTTCGAGATTCACGAGATTCGACACAGCGCTATCGAGCTCCGGAAGATCTTTCAATTCCCACAGCTTGAGAACCTTGAGAGACGGGAGATGGAAGAAGGGATCCGGCAGCTCGCAGAGGGACCGGTTGTGGTAGAGAAGAACATCTTCGAGGTTTTGAAGCTGTCCGATGCTGTCAGGGAGAACTTCCATCGGCTTCGCGCGGAAAATTTCCAGCTTCTGTAACGAACGAAGATTGCCGATGGAATCCGGTAGATCCTCAAGCCGCTTGCAGTTGGAAATGCTTAGCTCGGTCAATGCAGTGAGCTGGCCGATCGAATCTGGTAGATCTGTGATGTGCAGGCACTCCAATGTCAACCGCTTCAGGGATTTCAGGTTGCCGAACTGATCCGGGAATTCGCCGAGGCCGAAACTGAGTGTGAGGTCTCTCAATGAGGTTAAACCGAATAATGAAATCGGCATCTGCTCAATCTTCACGGACAAGTGTAAGGAGAGTATCTGCAGGTCAGTGCATGCCGTGAGCAGTGCATCTAGCCCCGTACGCGTTACTGTGGAACGGCTAGAATTCATAAGTTGTAGGTTCGTAAGCTTGGGACAGGCAGAAGCCAGGCCAATTAGGAAATCGTCACCCGGACCCTCGGACCCAACTATATTTACAGACGTTAGGTTCTTAAACTGAGAAAGAGATCGGAGAACGTGGGTGTTTTGGACATAACTCTTGAAGAAGATCGACCTTTGAGTAAGACAAACGATGCGATACCATCGCTTACAGACCAGGGCTAGGGAGAAATGCGCTGCTCCCTGCCAGGGAGAATAGTGATTAATTCTCTCACGGAGAATAGTGCATAGAAGATCGTCCGACAAGTGGTCGAACGACACGCGAGTCAACGCCATACCACGTAATTATGAAGCTAGCAAGGTAATGGAGGAACCAGCTGAACTAAGACGTTTCACTAGGACAAGAGTGCAAGGACTGTATACTAAGCTAGTCTGCTGAGTCCGGCCTCCCAAGTACTAGTACTAGTATTAGTCTTTGGAGAGATCTCAGCGTCTTCACCTCCTGCGACTTACGTTTTTTACAACGGTGCAGAACGTTCTTATACGAAAAAGAGCTTTTACGGTGGGGTTCCACAGACTGCTGAACATCAGGGTGAGTACAGGCTTGGGAAATTCAGAACCTGCGCAGCGCTGCAGCGTTGGAGTCTGACTGTCAGGGTTTCCTGACATGTCTGCAGATGTGACAGGCTGACGAAAATGAGCGGGATTGGCCAATGATCAGCTGGATTTCAGCTTTCGCACGGAATTCCGTTCGCGCGAGCTGCTTGCGACATTCTCGAATGTCCCAATCGTGGGAGGGGAGTGCCTGATTTGTCACCAAGCTGTGCATTACGGTAACATAGCTTTTTCAAAAGTTACAAAACGCTACAGCTTCGGTTCTGTGACATGTCGTAATGTCCAACATCCATGGCTGGTTTCTCCGTTCATGTGCTGGTTACCATGGCTGACTGGCAAGTCTTTCGAACTCTTTCAAACTTTGAAACTCTCCAGGTGCTGGTTATGAGTGCTTGTTTCAAACTTGGGCGCGGCTGAATGACTGGCGTCTCAAACTGTCTGAGTGAAGAGACTGACAACCATCATAGCATCTCCCCAGCTCGCGAACTGAGAGTGTGACTATGCGTCTGACGATCAAGGCAGTACAGTTGTAGGCTCGCCGTAATATACTTTTCCTAGTAACTTCATTTCTATGCTTCATGTCTGATGTCATTCAGCCCCTAGAATTGTTTTTTTGCTTGGACGAAGACACTGCATGACCGTTGGAAGGGTTGTAGCATGGCGAAAGGCGGGTCCGCATGCACAGCTCTTTCGCTTAGTGATGACGAATATGAAACGCTAAGTGACAGCGACTTTGAATGTGCCAGCAATAGTGATAGTAGGAACTACGACAGCTACAGCAATAGTAGTAGGGGTAGTGACAGTCCTGGCGATAATAGTAGCGATTTCGACAGCGATGTCGATAATAACGGGGATAGTAGTGGCAATGACGTTGACAAGTCCTGGTTGGTGGACGAAAACGGAAAGGTAACAGACAGCGAAACGGAAAGTAGTAGAACAGGAAGCAACTCCATGCTGCCAACGCCTGCTAGCTCGAAACGTCTGGAAAAGAAGGCTGTTGGCAATTCGACTGATCGCAGGGGCTCCTCTCTGCCATCCAATCCGTACGCGCAGGCATTATCCTTGATTCGAGGTACATTCCCAACACTACCCTGTACCCGTTTTTATTGATAACATTTTACCCCGTACCATCCGACTGACTCTTTTCCTTTTCTCCTGAACCGTGTTTGTTTTGTTTGATCCCGTTTTTACCATTGACTCGCATCGCAGCGGGAGAGTGGGGCAAGCTGACCAGCGAGCTATGTAAGGCCTATCTGCGGTATTACGGTTTAAGGCTGAGCGACTCGAAGGCGGACCTGATCAGTCGCATTCAGAGACATTACGAGTAAGCTCCTCGTTACGTCCGAGAAAGACGTGTCGCTTTTGAGTTGTCGAACGCCCTGCTGTTCATCTGAACAGAGTAGAGTCTCCTGCTTCAGGGAACGCAATGCGTTTGGGAAATTGCAGCTCAAGCGTGAAAGGTGATATGAAACACTTCTCTGTTCCATTTGATACATCTCTACAATTGGTGTCGAATTACAGCCGATTTTTTTCGTTTTTTGCTAAGGTACGGTCAGTTTCCCCTCGTTTTCTGTTAATGTAGTGTCAGATTTCCTTCGTTTCTTTCCCATTTCAAGACAGGCTCAAGGACTTCCAATCAGCCAAGCGCCAGTACCCTCGTGCATCCTTCTTCATCAATTGCACAGGTAACCAATGAACAGGGACTTCAATGCTCGTCAAAAGCTGGACCATATGCAAGATATTTGCTTCATGGCACGCCAAAGCACGTTCTTATATCCACAACTGCCGCACCATCGTACCAGAGTCCCAAAGCACGTTTTCTTTACTGCCGTTTCATTCAACATGGCGATGCCACAGGTGACGTCTGCAGAAACGACGTTGTTCTATTTAACCAACGAATATCCACAAGATCAGTCTCAACGTAAGTCTCAAGGCCGGTCTCAAGGCCGGTCTCAGGGACAGCTTCCAGGTCATCCATTATGTCACCTCTTTTTCTGCTTGTGTTATCTCATCTCATTAGCTCTGTTCTCCGTGAATGCAAGGGCAGAAGGTTGCTTGCCTGCAAGCGGAGGGGATGGGAATGGAGGGTGAAAGGTAAGGGGGAGGTAGTAATGCGGCCACATAGTGCAAGGGGGAGGTATAGTGCAGCACGCTTTTGCTTCACAGCATGCCTGCCATATGCCTTTTTACCACTACGCCCGGAATGGTTGCAGTTTGAGACTGTGGAATGCGGCCACGTCCGTGCCATGCAATCCTGCCATGGCATGCCATGCCTGTTTCCCATGGCATACCATGCCTGTTGCCCATGTCATGCAACCTCAGATTTGTGCCTTATTCTAGTGCCTGTATGTGCTGCACGTTTCATGTACATGGCAACGGATAGCAACTGACGCCAACAGATGACCCATGCAGGCATGAGAGGAAGGCAACGCATGGAGGGTATCGGTTGGTGGCAGGGAGAGTGGTCAGTGAAAGCTACGGTGTCAAGAAGCAGCAGCACACGTTCACTGTAAGCACACACTTTTTCTAGCGAAAGTGGCAGCTTACAGTTGACTCGTTAGAAGTCCATGCATTTGCCACCGTACCCATTGCTCACTCTGTATTTCCAAATCCAACTGAGCTTTAATTTGTTTGAACTTTCTTTCAGGTGGAGGTTATTTGGACCTCCGGTGCACATGCACTGGCTCCAATGACGCAGCTACTTGTAAAGGGGAGAGTACTGTACAGACATAAAACATTTCGACAGGTGAATTTGTCTACTCTAATCCTAACGTGTGCATGCATTTGTCTAGTGAAGGGTCGGTATCCGATGCTGTGTGCATTTTGTTTGAATAATACAGGGCAAATATGTACATGCAGAATCATAAGGGTTGGTTGGGGAAAGCGTATGCATGGAATGAGCCATTTTTCATGCATGAAAATCTCAACAGCCGTTTTTCTGAGTGATCATCTCAACCTGCCACTTCCCGAGCTTTCACTGAGGCGGATGGAGCCACTGCGACTGAGTGTTGTGATCAGATGCCACAACCCTTACGTCCACTGACTGTTCCAGCTCTCTCGCTGACCTTTTCCTCACTACCTTGGCTTGTTCTCGTTGCTGCCTTACACTCGTCTAGAAATGGCCATAATGAGGTAGACAGGGAGGCTGCATTAGGCTGTTCTGATTACGTTTTGAAACCCTGTTTTTACCCATCGTCCTAGCATGTTCCCATTGCTGCCCTCCATTCGCCCAGAAATGGCCCAATGAGGCGGAGCGTGTGGCTGCCATTGCAGAGAAGCATGCGAGGGGAGACGAGGCCCGCAGCATGCGGGAGAAGCGGCTCGCAAGCAAATCCTGTAGAAACGGGAGACGGCTGGAGAAGGCATTAACTGGGAAGCGCCGGGAGAGACCATCAATTCGAGAGAAGTTAGCGAAGACGACTAGTACAAGACGGGGATCCCATGGCCGGTCAACTCATCCCAGCAGGGGTAGAAAACGCCCTCGGTGTGAAAACAGGTGAGAGTTTTCTGGAGAGTGAATGGTGAAATGGATGGTTGTTTTCAACAGGTATGGATGGTGAGTGAAGGGGAGGGCATGCTTAGAGTGACTGCTGTGGGAGGAGGAGCAAGTGCAAGAGGAGAAGGAGAAGATGTGCAAACGCTGGTAGTGGTTCTTTCGTGGTGTGCCACATTTGGCCATAAGGAGAGGACATACATCCACTGAATGTATGAGACGGGCGGAGGAAAGGCGAAAGAAAGTGCATATCCTTTCTGTATGGCTGATCGTTTTTGCACCTTCCCCCCCATTTCTTTCCTCCCATCCCCCACCCCCTTGTCCCCTCCTGGCCCCCTTCCCCCAGCCCCAGCCAATTACTCTCACATGCACGCACTACCACTCCCACTCCTTTGTGTGTTCCTTCCTGAAACAAGCCTTTTCACTTATGAGCAAGATGTACCTCTGGCCTCCCACTTATCTTTACTGTACACACGCATGGACACAGATGATCCTTGTGTCCCAATATCACCCCACTTTCCCCCCTTTCCAGCTCCGCTCCTCCCTCTCCCCACTGTCCCACTCCTGCATCCCACTATATTGGATTCCCATTCCTCTCGATCACAATCAGGTGGACACCGAGGAAAAGGCGGGACACGAAAATCTAGGCTTCCCGAACAGTGAAGAGCACTTGTGCTGCACAGTGCTTGGCTCTAAAACGCTAGCTGTGGTAAGGTCAAGTCAACCACATCCAGATGCCATTGAAACCAAGATGGTGCCTACTTTCTGTTTTGGCTTAAAAAAGCAGTCCCATATGAAGTAATCAGATTTACTCATGATTCGTGAGCACCCTGGTACCACAGAATGGCAATTTTTAGTTCCTGGTCTGTGTGTGTGAATATGGGAACAGTGGAATTACCGATACCCTACTGGTGTACTGCGTGAGTCCTGGTTGTGTGTTTTTGTACGGGAACGATGGGATGGGAGTGCTGAATAGGATGAGATGGGATGGGATGGTAAGGGAAGATACGCAAACACTCTGAATGAATACAAGAGCCAAGGGATAAGGTAGTTTCGCCAGCACTCAAACTAGCTAAGGAATGAATGGACACAATAGTCACACAGACACCCACGTGCATCATCGACTAGGTACCCAAGCAATGAATCATCTACTAGGTAAGCAACACACCCACATGCATACATAGACACTCTTTTTGCATCTACAGCAGCCCCTCGTCGTCAATGAATCATCAATGAAACATCCAGTGAATCATCCCTAAGCAATGAATCATCTACTAGGTAAGCAACACACCCACATGCATACATAGACACTCTTTTTGCATCTACAGCAGCCCCTCGTCGTCAATGAATCATCAATGAAACATCCAGTGAATCATCCCTAAGCAATGAATCATCTACTAGGTAAGCAACACACCCACATGCATACATAGACACTCTTTTTGCATCTACAGCAGCCCCTCGTCGTCGCTTCCCCACTCGTCGTCGCTTGCCCACTCTTCTCGACTGCTCTCCCGTACAATCTTCACACGTGGAAGCCCAAGAATAGCATTGATCCTTTTATCGAAAGCCGGGCAGGTTACGATTTCAAGAGTGTAGAGGTCGACGAGCTTGGACATTGAATCAGGCAGGCACGCCAGTTTGGGCCAAGAATCAAGTTTCAGCTGCTCCAACTCCGAGAGATTCCCAATCTGGCGAGGAAGAGTACTGAGATCTGAAACACCAGACAGGACAAGGGATGTCAGGCTGGATAATTCGCAAAGGTTAGACACAAAGGCTTCAGCTGAAGGCACTCTCCCAGCCCGGACGCCATTCCCGCAGCTGTATGGCCAGTCAAACTCCAGTTTTCTCAAGTCCGTGCAGCCCTGGAAGAGAGAAGCCGGGACCTCTTCGATGGCACCGCATCGTTTCAGGACGAATGATCGCAGATCATTCAGCTTCGAAATGGAATCCGGCAGGCACTCCAAGCTTCCGAGGTTTGAAAATTTCAGACGCGGCAGTGAAGATGCGTCGCCGATGCTTCGCGGAAGGGTGGTGAGAGCCCAGCAGTCGGTGACCATCAGGCGACGGAGGTTGGGAAGCTGGCAGAGGGAATCCGGGAGCGAAGTGAACCAGCATTTCTCAATGTGAAGCATTTCCAAATTCACAAGATTCGACACAGCGCCTTCAAGCTCCGAAAGATCTTTCCGGTCCCATAGCTTGAGAACCTTGAGAGACGGGAGATGGAAAAAGGAATCCGGAAGCTCGCAGAGGGACCGGTTGAGGTAGAGAAGAACATTCTCGAGGTTTTGAAGCTGGCCGATGCTGTCAGGGAGGACTTCTAACGGCTTCGCGCGGAAAATCTCTAGTTTTTGTAACGAACAAAGATCGCCGATGGAATCCGGCAGATCCTGATGCCGCTGGCAGTTGGAAATGCTCAGCTCGGTCAATGCGGTGAGTTGGCCGATCGAATCTGGTAGGTCTGTGATGTGTAAGCATTCCAACGTCAAAACCTCGAGAGATTTGAGGCCGCCGAACTGATTCGGGAATTCGGCGAGGGCGAAGCTGAGCGTGACGTCCCTTAACGAGGTTAAACCGAAGAAAGAAGCTGGCATCTGTTGAATCTTCACTGATATCTGTTAGGAAAGTACCTGCAGGTCAGTGCACGCCGTGAACAGTGCATCTAGTCCCGTACGCGTGATTAGGGAACGGCCAGAGCTGCTAAGTTGCAGATCTACTGTATCAGCTTGGGACAGGCACAAGCCAGGCCGATGAGGAGTTTGTCATCCGGATTCTTGGCCCAAATATGGATACAGAAGTCAGGTTCTTAAAACCCGCAGGCCAAGAAGTTCAACCTTAGGGCGGTCCAGCGCGTACGTTTTTCAGGTACTATACAGTTCATTCGTCGTGGTTTGAAAAGATATCAGGCGGTGCACAGCAGTTTTAAAATTGCACCGTTTTGAACCGTGATGCAGTACAGATTACCGTTCTGGATGAACTGTAATGTACGGAAAACGTAAGCGCTGGACACGCCCTTAGGAAGGTTGGTTGGGAGTGAAAACGCGATTGGCCCGCGAACGTTGGGGGGGTCGAGATTGTTGGAGAATGTTCGTGAACTTGCGCAGGTTCGCCAATGTTACCAGGGTTTACCTGCGACATGTACTTCACGCGCACATCAGTCGCACATAGCCTAGAGCGACACCTCACAGCAACCTGACTCACAACCCCATTTCCCAACACCACGTCACTGCTTTGTAGGCAAGGAAACTGCGCCGACTACAAGTAGCTAGGAAATTGAGCCCAGCGCAAGGGCAGAGCCCTATCCGTCAAAGCAGGCGGCGGGGGATAGTGACAGGGTTCACAAAGCTGCGCGATTGCATCATTTCTTATCGCTCCGAATTAGAAGCGACACATCGCACGAGTCGGAAACGCCCGTACGTGCGTCACCTGGCAAGCTGCGAATCCTTTCGATTACCCCGCGAGTAGCGTTTGCTCGTCCCGTCCCCCTCCCGTCGCCTTCACTCCCTCCTCCGGTCGCCTTCACTTCCCCCTCCCGTCGCCTTCACATCCCCCTCCCGTCGCCTTCACATCCCTCTCCCGTCGCCTTCACTCCCTCCTCCCGTCGCCTTCACATCCCTCTCGCGTCGCCTTCACTCCCTCCTCCCGTCGCTTTCACTTCCCCCTCCCGTCGCCTTCACTTCCCTCTCCCATCGCCCTCGCTCCCCCCTCCCATCTCCCTGCTCATTCTCCCGTCGCCCTCGCTTCCCCGGCTCACCCTGTTTCCTCTGCTCCTTCGCTACCCCCCGGCTCTCTCTGTCTGTCTCCCCTGCTCATTCTCTTCCCAGTCTCCCCCCCAATCCCCCACAACCTCTTCCACAAGTTGGAAGATTCACTTGCGCTAACGCTTCCTGCCCCGACGCTACCCCTCCCTGCACCCGACGCCAACCCGCCATTTCCCCACGCTAATCCTCCCTTTCCCTCACTACCACCCGCCCAATCCCCCACTCCCCCCCGTACTTTCCCCCACTCGCACCCGTCCATTCCCCCACTGGCCCGGTCATTTCCCCCACTCCCCCCCGTCATTTCCCCCACTCTCCCTCGCCCTTTTCCCCCACATAAGCATTCCTTTCCCTCACGCTAATCCTCCCTTTCCCTCACGCTAATCCCCCCTTTCCCTCACGCTAATCCCCCCTTTCCCTCACGTTAATCCTCCATTCCCTCGTGTCACCCTTCCATTTCCCCCACGCCAACCCTCTCTCTCCCCTACGTTACTCCTCCCTTTCCCCCACTCACCCCCTCCTCTTCCCCCACTACCACCCTCCCTTTCCCCCACGCTGACCCTTCCTCCCCCCCGTGCCAACCCGTTCCCCCACGCCAACTCTCCCTTGCCCTCTCGCCAACCCTCCCTTTCACCACGTCGTTGCTCTACACTTCCCCCTCCTGTCGCCTTCACTCCCATGCTCACTCTCTCCCCCTCTGCTCATGGGAATTACCGCCCTCACTCTCTTTCCCCATGCTCACTCTCTTTCCCCCCTTCTCACCCATTTCCCCCCTTCCCTTGCCTTCAACCCCCCATTTTCTCTCCCTCGAATATGCCTCCTCCTTTCCCTTCTCGGTTCAGTTCCCTTTACCCCCTTACCCTTCCCTTCTCCCCCACGCCATTCCTCCCCTTCCCCCACTCCAACCCCTCCATTCCCCTTCGCTAGACCTCCTCTTACGGTAAGGGCCTTACCTTCACTGTGCTACCCTTTGCCGTCCTCCCTTCTCCCAGCTACCATAGTCATTCTCCCATCCCTGATTCACTTGCGCGAACGCCTCCTGCACCGATGCTCCCCTTTATCCCACTCCCACCAGTGTCTTTTCCACCCCCTCACCCACCTCGACCTCTCCCACTCGCGCGGCGCCACACTTCCTCCTCCTCCGCACCTCACCACCCTCCACCGCACTCCACTCCTCCAGGCCCTCACACCCCGCCCTGCGGCTAGCAGTGGTTACAAGCAGCAGTATCCCTCACACACCTCCACCTCTACCCTGCTGCTGTCTCTCACGCCCTTGTGTTACACCTCGCCCACTCCCGTCCCCACACGGTATGCCAGCTCCTCACCACTCTCCACCGCACTCTACTCCCCCTCCACGCACTCATAGCCCGCCCTGCGACCTGAAGTGGTTACAAGCACCAGTATCACCCTCACACACCTCGATCTCTCCAGCTCACTCTGTCTCCCCTGCTCATTCTCCTCCCCCCCCGGCTCACATTGTTTCCGCGCACGCGTCCAACCCCTTCCCGTCACCCCTGCCATAACCCTCTCTCCCGCTCCCATTTCCTACCCCGACACCCACCCGCCCCAGCCCCCTCTCCCCCGCGTCCAGTCCCCCACTGCCTCCTTCCTTTCCCCGACTCCCCCCCGTCCTTTCCTTCACTCCCACCCGTTCATTCCCCCATTCCTCCCCGTCCAATACCCCACTCTCCCTCGCCCTTTTCCCACACAATAATCCTCCCTTTCCCCAACGCCAACCCTAAGCACGGGTAAGAGGAGTCACCATCGAAGGGAGGGGAAGCGCAACAATAGGGGTGGTAGGGTGTCTGGTGGCTACAAAATGAAGAGCAGGAGCAGCGAGGAGATGATGTCCGGTAGCTGCCATCCCCTTCCCCACACGATGCCATCCCCTTCCCCCCACGCTGCCATCCCCTTCCCCACACGTTGCCATCCCCTTTCCTTGCTCCCCCTTCCATCACAGAACCATGCTTGTACATGTGCCCAGCACCATGGGTCGTGGCCTGACAGGAGTGGGTTGAAAAGTTACCACCTCTTAGCTTTGTGCATGTGCCTATAGTCCACTCTTGGCAACTTCTATGGAAATATACCGTATGTTGCTTTTGTTGCACTTCCTTGTGATGGGCATGTGCATTTCTGCACCTAATAAAAGAGTTGTGTATTATGCGAAGGATCCAACATCAATACATGGCATAGCTATTTGTCACTCGATACCACTACCATCAAACAACAAACAAATCACATCTGGATGCATGCAGATCTGCACAAAAACGAACCACAAACTCGGATGTGTCCAAGTTGAAGCAGCGGGGAGGATACGAAACAATGATGATGGAAGGGCAACGGTGGTAGGGAACAAGGAATGCACGGAGGGAGAAAATGTGCGATGGGGACACAGAGGAAGGGCGGAAGGGGCGGCGAGATGAAGAGTGATTGTAAAGGGTGGAGAGAGCAGGAAAAGGCACTGAGGCAGAGAATTGGGGAGAGGGTGGAATAGATGAAGAAAGAAAGGGGGTAGGAGAGGACGATGTTGGGTGATGATAGAAAGGGCGGATGAGAGGACAAGCGGATGAGAGGAAGGCTGGACGGGAGAAAGTAAGGGAGGGAAAGATGGAGAAAGAGAGGGATGAACGGAGGAGGAAAAAGTGTGGCTGGTTACAAGGGGGAAAGTAGAAGGGTGGAACGGAAAAGCAGGGTTGGAGTGAGAAAGGGAGTAGTAGGGTGGGAGATGGAAAGGGGAAGAGGGACTGGATCAAGGGAGGATGAGGAGAGGGGAGAATGGCAGGAAGGGAGGACGGGAGGAAGGGAGGGAAGACGACTGTGGGAAAACAAAGGAACGGAGAAAGGGAGGAGGGCAGGAGGTAAAAGTGTGGTAGGGTATATGGGTGGAACGGGGGATAGGAGGATTTCAGGGGTTGGTGCGAGAGAGGGGAGGAGGTTGGTGCAAGAGAGAGATGGTGGGCGGGGAAGAGTGGATTACAGGGGTAGCATGGGGAAGGGAGGATGGCATGGGTAGCATGGGGAAGGGAGGATGGCATGGGTAGCATGGGGAAGGGAGGATGGCATGGGTAGCATGGGGAAGGGAGGATGGCATGGGTAGCATGGGGAAGGGAGGATGGCATGGGTAGCATGGGGAAGGGAGGATGGCATGGGTAGCATGGGGAAGCGTGTGTGGAGCAGAGGGCATGCATGGTACTAAGGAAGGTGTGGACCTGGGGGAGTGGCGGGAATGACGGGTGGGAGTGGGGGATTGGACGGGAGGAAGTGGGGGATTGGACGGGAGGAAGTGGGGGATTGGACGGGAGGAAGTGGGGGATTGGGCGGGGGGGAGTGGGGGAAAGGACGGGGGGGATGGGGAATGGACAGGGGGAAGTGGGGGATTGGACAGGGGAAAGTGGGGAACTGGACGGGGGAAAGTGGGGGATTGGGCGGGGGGAGTGGGGGATTGGACGGGGGGAAGTGGGGGAAAAGGTGGGTGGGAGTGGGGAATGGACGAGTGGGAGTGCAGGAATGGACGGGGGGCAGTGGGGGAAATGGCGAGGTGGAGTGGGGGAAAGGGGGAAGCTCCCCATGATACAAGGAGGGGTAATGTAAGGGGAAGCGTGAGAAATCGTGGGGAAATGGACAGGGAGGTCGAGCGAAAGGGGATGGGATGAAAGGGGGGGATCCAGGGAGCGGGGATGTAAGGGGGAGTGAACTCGACGGTGCGAAAGTGGCATACGCGAATGCAACCGAGCGATTGTGGCGTGGCGCATGCAACAGCGCGATCTCGGCAATAATGCAAAGAAAGTATCGATCTAAGGGTGTCGTGATGTTCTGCTGCGCGACAAATCGTGACATAAGATCGACTATGCGGCTGGGCGAGCGCGCGAATGCAAATATGGCGTAGCAAATGAGACGGCGCGAATATCCCGGCTACGGAAAGCAGCTTTCGAAAAGAAGCATGCGAGGCACTGCGCGATGCGTCCCCTCCGATTATCCTTGGCGCCTATAGCCTATGCTTACGATATGGCCACCGCGTTTTGCTATAATCTTCACGAGCATGCCGTTTGTAACTTCATCGCCATAATATCCCCGTATTTTCCACCAATGTCGCATAACCCGCATTTTTTCCTCTCGTACCTCTAGTTTTATGCGCGAATGTGCGTGCGAGCAGCGCGGTGTAGCTGCTAGTTGGATGAGTTGCGGTCTATTAGTAGTCTAAGAAACTCGAGAAAAATTGCTGGCAATTTTGGGGCAGGTTTCTTTGGCTGGTAGGCATGTGTGTGGGGGTTGGCTCGCTCCTCACATTGTCGCCCAGCAACCTGTGCCGAAGTGGTTGTCGTGCTTGCGACACAGATTTCGCAGGGGTTGAGTTCACGACCAAGGTTGGGTGTACATCCGTTCCCTCCTTGGCAACCGGGTTACACCCAACCAACGTTAGGAAGGATGAACCAAATTTCCCTTTCTTGACCCACGGGTTTTAAACTGAGAAAGAGATCTGAGAACGTGGGTCGTTAGGACATCACGCCTGAAGGAGATAGACCTTTGCGTAAGACAAACGATGCGATACCATCGCTTACAGACCAGTGCGAGGGAGAAATGAGCAGTTGCCTGATTATATTCCTCACGGAGAACGGTGCATGGAAGATCGTCCGGAAAATGATTGAGCGACACTTGTGCCGACGCCATACCATGGAACGATGACGCTAGCAAGGTATTGCAGAAACAGGCTCGACCAAGCCGTTCTGCTAGAGCGAACGTCTTAGGACTGACTAATAGGCTTGTCTGCGGAGTTCAGCCGCATAATGCACAACTAATAATGCTCGTCTGCTTGATGGCAACAATACCTCAGCAGCTTTACCTCCTGCGATTCTCTGGTGCGAACATGAACGAAATACACATTTGAGAACGGTGCAGAACGTTCTATGGAAACCAGAGAATTTGCAGTGGGGCTCGACGCGCATCATTGTGAGAAGGGTTTGGCGCACGAAATTCAGAGTTCGGATCAGATTCTGACCGTCAGGATTCTCTGACAGGCTGACGAAACGCAGCAGGATTATCCAATGATAAGCAAGAAGTCAAATTTCGCGCGAAATTCATCCCTTTCTTGCAATTGTGGTGAAAGGGATGAATTTCGCAAACGGGTCGCAAACCCAAGGATTTAGATTTGAACGAAGTCGCAAACGTGTCGTCAAATCCTCGAAGACTTCGGTTTGGTGTGAGTAAATATCTGAACACACATGGTGTGGTTCGTTATAGTCATAAGATATAAACGAAGAAACGTTGAGATCATTCTGCCTAAGCGTCATCAAATCATCTGCAACTACATAATCAATGTTTTGGTACATGAACAAGAAGATTGACGTCAATTTGAATGTTACGTTTTGATGTAGCAACCGTCGACGAGGACGACGATGGGAAAGGCGACAGGGAGAAAACTTGTCGACAGGAAGGGAGGGGAGAGCGAGGGTGACGGGGAGGGAGGGAAGATAGAAGGCGACGGGGGGGGGAGAGAGACCCGCGAAGGTGATGGGAGGGGAACGGACATCGGACGAAAGCGCGATGGCGAAGGCGCGATACAGGAAACTAGCCCATGCGGAAAGGTAACGAAAGCCTGCGGAGGGGAAATTCTTACGATACTATGCTACGCGACAGTCTTACGCATTCCTGGAGGGTCGAGCGCGATACCTACCTTGGCCACAAACACCTATTGTTGCCAGCTAAAATATGCTAGGAATATAACTAGTGACTTCGGGATGGTGAGCAGGTGGTCATGAAACCCAGTTTCAACTTGAAACCAACGTTGGCCTGGCGACGGAAACCATCGCCAGGCAACCGTCGTGCAGGTGTAGCACGAAAATGTGCGACGAGGGAGATCCGGATGGAAAAACATTTTGGCGGGAACAAGACAGCACAAGATTGGCGAAAGCCAATCACATTTGTTCAAGCCCCTGCTCGTTTTCTTTGGAACAGTGCTCTATCGGCCCGTTCTCTGGAGCACCATTTCAAGTTGGGACAGGGTTCATTATTTTATATTCTGGTTTTAATCAGTTGCAGCACAGAATCATGCTGAGAATTTGCAATTACACAGTGCCAGATACATCTAGGCACAGAAACACCTTACAACTCAGAAAGCCTAAAACCTCGGGGACTGAAAGGTGCCTGAAACCTTGGGGAAACCTTACATTTAAGGTGCCTTACACGGGCTCTCGTTATCAGACCAAATTGGTCTGATGGTCTGATTTTCAGACGTAGATTTTCGCTTTCATCTGATCTCTAAGACGATGCTTTTTATTTCGTCTGATCCGTAAGATGACTGATTTTAGTTCATCTGATATTTCAGAGCAAGCTCTATAGTTAGTCTGAAATTTCAGAGAACGAGTTGTTTTTCGTCTGATACCGATCCCCCTCCCCCCAACCCTCCCTTTCCCCCCCGATCTCTCGCTACTCTACCAGCTCAGCCCCCCCTTCTATGCCCTCGCTCCTCTTCCAGGCCTAGTCCTGTCCAACCCTTCTCCCCCTTTCCCCAACCTGAGGTCTCTCCAGGTCTCGCTCCCAGCCTAGCCCGCTTTCATGCCCCTCCTAATGTCTCGCAGCCCAGCCCCCCCTTCCCTTCGCGTCACTCCACCTCCACCCACCCTGATCTCTCGCGTCGCAGCCCCTCATTGTCATGTGCGTGCCCCTCAATAGCCACACAGCTGTCTGTCAGCTAGCGAGCTGTCAGCACCGCGCCAAGGGCGCGTTCATTAACAAAACAAGCGTGATTATGTTAGACAAGTGTGTTAGCTAAATCAGACTGTGCAAATTGAATCGTATGAAGAATCAGACTAAGCTTTAACATTCAACCAAAAAATCAGACCAAAAAAATATGCCCGTCTGAACGTCAGACGGAACGGTTTTTTTACTTAGGTATGTCAGACAGGCCCAAATCCTAGCAAGAGCCCTGCTTACACCTTTAGTATGCATAGAAAGCCTGAACTTTGGGGACCTGGTGTCAATTATCCGTTCCTAGAAACTTACCTGTAAACTTTGTCATCCACTCAAGATGTTCAGAAATATCAACATGAATGAGTGAGATTGAACTTCCTCTATCCAAAAAAACATACCATGGCCTTTTCAAATGCTTCTGATGTTTGATTGACTCTTGACATATGCATATTTCATGTCAAACGTAAGTTCCAACAACAGTCGGTTGATAGATTCAAATTTCATGTCATTGCATTGGACTCGATTCGGTGTCAACAAAAATGGATCTTTCACCAACTGCTACCAGATTGGCAGCTCGATTGCTTCCAAAGTCCCTCTTATTGGCCTCCTTTGCAATGCGTGAACCAAACTGGAATGTATACAATGTGGGTATAAATCAATTCATGAATGTGAACAAGAAGAATAAGAGATTGCAAGCAGACAGTGTACGGAAAAAAACAAACATGCAATCAGAAGCAACATACGAGCATCGAAGCATTCACATGTATGAACGGAAGAAATATACCAAGGTGTTAAAGAATCCCAGAAACACTCAGCTGTAGCAGAAAATGCATGGCATACCTGAATGGCTCGTTTGGGCAATGCAGCAGCTCCTGTCAGACCCAGCTTGCGAGCAATCTGTCAAGGATGATTAGATGATAAAAAGAGGTTGATGAGATTAAAAAGGGTCAGAAGTTCTATCCACTGTGGTATGAAAGGCCTCGGTCACAACAATGTAACATCGCGGTGACCCTAAACCCTAAACACAATATCACATCAGCGTCACCGCCATGTTGCACCAGGGTCAGTCAGCACAGTGGTTCTGGGTTAGAAAGTAACCTGTGACTCACCAAGGATATGAGAACTAGAACAACTGATAATTTACTTACTCTTACCCACCAACTGTCTCTTACCCAGGGACATGAGAGCTGGAACAATGTATTGTATACCTTCTCGTGTGTCACCTGTCGAAGCACCATCTGTATCCCATGCCCGGAGAGACTTTTGAGTCGACTCAAAAGACTATTGAGGTGACTTGGTGAATTTTGAGTCGACTCAAAAGACTTTTGAGGTGACTTGGTGACTTTTGAGTCGACTCAAAAGTCACCATGCCCGGAGAGAGACGCACGAGAGGCAGAGAAAGAATCAGAACGCGCTTCCTTCCCATCACTTGCTCAGGTTCTGAAACAACTCCCTCATCTTTCATATCGACTGTAACTCTCACCTGCCGCAATATGAGCTTGTCTCCTGTGCCCGGAGGGAGGTGCAGGTTGGTGATGCGAGGGAGAGCGAGAGCCAACAGTGCGCTCATTAATCCCTCGTGTTTGTCTTGATTTTAGCTCTCAACTCATTAATCCCTCGTGTTTGTCTTGATTTTAGCTCTCAACTCATTAATCCCTCGTGTTTGTCTTGATTTTAGCTCTCAACTCATTAATCCCTCGTGTTTGTCTTGATTTTAGCTCTCAACTCATTAATCCCTCGTGTTTGTCTTGATTTTAGCTCTCAACTCATTAATCCCTCGTGTTTGTCTTGATTTTAGCTCTCAACTCATTAATCCCTCGTGTTTGTCTTGATTTTAGCTCTCAACTCATTAATCCCTCGTGTTTGTCTTGATTTTAGCTCTCAACTCATTAATCCCTCGTGTTTGTCTTGATTTTAGCTCTCAACTCATTAATCCCTCGTGTTTGTCTTGATTTTAGCTCTCAACTCATTAATCCCTCGTGTTTGTCTTGATTTTAGCTCTCAACTCATTAATCCCTCGTGTTTGTCTTGATTTTAGCTCTCACCTGCCGCAGTATGAGCTTGTCTCCTGTGCCCGGAGGGAGGTGCAGGTTGGCGATGCGAGGCAGAGGGAGGGCCAGCAGCGCGCTCATCACTCCCTCGTCCAAAAAGGGGAAGCGTGGCTGGTGACAGCGGGCGCAAAGAGGACAGTGCAGAAAAGGTTTGAAGTCGTTTTTGAGACTTCCCAAAATGGGATGAGCTGGTGAATGAGAGGCAGGAGTGGGGATCTCGAACAGCTTGTTTTACTTTGTAAATGTGGGCCAGAGAAAGGGGGTTGCGAGGAGAAAAAGGAGCAGGTAGCATGTCCAAAGCAAGAGCAAGAAGTGGGAACCAACAAGCACATCTGTCTCCTGTGGTCTCACACGCAACGGTCAGTTTTAACCGGAAAATGTGACCAAGAGAGAGATGTGAGATCGCATGAAAACTAGAGCAAACCTCAATTCAGCTGATCAACCACCCACCCCCCAGATACTCCGACCAAGACCGGACAGAGAGAGCTTCGAGACGCCAGATACTCTGACCAACACATTAAAGCACCTGTCGGCCCGGTCCAGGTTGATCAAAACATGAGCGCACCTGTGATGATCAAAAGATGACTTTTGAGTCGACTCAAAAGTCACTTAGAGCACCTGTCGGCCCGGTCCAGGTTGATCAAAACATGAGCGCACCTGTGATGATCAACAGACCGCACCTCTCTGCCGTGGACCGACTGGCATGGCACCGGTCGTCCCGTCCCGGGTTGCGATTCTCGAGTCGACTACAAAGAAGTTTACGGGTGAGGAGATCAAACAAGCGCACCTCACCTCTCTCCCGTGGTCCGAGAGGCACCGGTCGTCCCGGCCCAGGTTGCGCCGCCACAGGCGCTGCACGTCGTCCCTCATCTCACTCTCCAGAGATGGCCAGCTGGGGAAGAAGGGAGGGACGAAGAAAGGGAAGATATGAGGCACATCTCACTCCTCTGACTAAAGGAGCAGGTTTTTCTGCCGTGGTCCAAAACGCACCGGTCGTCCCGTCCAAGGTTGCGGCGCCCCAGGCGCTGCACGTCGTCCCTCATCTCGCTCTCCAAGGATGGCCAGCTGGGGAAGGAAAGGTGGTGGGAGATGAAACACATGCACAGGGTACACGGTGTGTGTGTGCGTGTGTGTGTGTGTGTGTGTGTGTGAGTGTGTGTGAGTGTGTGTGTGCATGTGTGAGAGGAGTGAGAGGAGTGAGAGGAGCCACTAGTGCCACAAGCGACACACGTCCTCCCTCATCTCGCTCTCCAGGGATGGCCAGCTGGGGAAGGGAGGGAGGAAGGACGGGAAGGGGGAGATGAGGTACGCACACACCCTTCCCTTAAGCCTTACCCCCCTCCCCACCCCTCTCACCCTCCTTGTCGGAATTTTGTCCTGTAGCGAGCATAGCCCCCGCACTGTTCATCTGCACCCGTCCCCACGAACACCACCCGCGCATGTGCTCTGTACACCTCCGCACTCCCCATCACCGCTCTGCACGCCTCTTCCTCCTCTTCCCCATCGCCTTCCCCCTCCCCCCCATAGCGTATCATCCTGCCCTCCCCTCTAGCAGCAAGCCACAGTGCCGCACCAATGTTGAGGTCCTGGGAGCACGGGGGGGCGGGGGGGCAAGCCAGAAAGTGACCCAGGTTCGGCAAGCCAGAGAGTGACCCAGGTTCGGCAAGCCAGTGAGTGACCCAGGTCGGCAAGCCAGTGAGTGACCCAGGTTCGGCAAGCCAGTGAGTGACCCAGGTTCGGCAAGCCAGTGAGTGACCCAGGTTCCGCAAGCCAGTGAGTGACCCAGGTTTGGCAAACCAGTGAGTGGGCCAGTGGTCATGTCATGTGTAGCTGTGTCAGTCAGAACATGATAAAACACAACATGGCATGGCACATAGCATGTGGGATGATGACCAAGTGGCACATAGCATGTGGGATGATGATCAAGTGGCACATAGCATGTGGGATGATGACCAAGTGGCACATAGCATGTGGGATGATGACCAAGTGGCACATAGCATGCTGGTGTGGGATTACCATGTGTGTGTGGGATGGGCAGAGCAGAACACAGACATGTCATGTGAGTGTGGGAGGGGCAGAGCAGGTAGAGCAGGGAGAGCAGGTGTCTCTTGACTTGAACCACCTCTGAGAGGGTCGAATGGGTGTGCGTCATGACTTACCATGTGTGTCACAGACATACCATGTTGGTGTGAGTGGGATTACCATGTGCGTGTGGGATGGGCAGAGCAGGGAGAGCAGGTGCGTTTTGACTTGATCCACTTCTGAGAGGGTCGAATCCACCTCCACCAGATGCCACCTGCACCGCAAGTAAACGGAAAAGGGGCTGATAGAGAAGTCAGGTTCCAGCAGCGGAAGACTCGAATCCACCTGCACCAGATGCCACCTGCACCAGACGCCGCCTGGTCACAGCAGGGAAAGACCCGAATCCACTATGCCATCAATACCCTGTCTCACTCACCTCCTCCCCTCGCATGCTCGCACCAGCTCCCTCACTCCCATCCTCGCTGTCTGCCTGTCCGGTGCTGCTGCTCCATACACAGATCACACTTGGAGATAATAACCGCCCACCCCTTCTCTTGCCCATGTCAAGTTTCACTCACCTCCTGCCCTCACACGCTCCCACCAGCTCCCTCACTCCCATCCTCGCTGTCTGCCTGTCCGGTGCTGCTGCCCCGGAAAAGCTCACATTCAGCAGCTCGATGGGTCCTGTGGTGGAGGGAAGGGAGGATGTGGGTGGGAGAGGAGGAGAAGAAAAAAGAGAAGCAGAAGCAGGAAAAAGAGGAATAAGGAAGAGGTGGAGGAGGAGGAGGAGGAGGAGGAGGAGGAGGAGGAGGAGGAGGAGGAGGAGGAGGAGGAGGAGGAGGAGGAGGAGGAGGAGGAGGAGGAGGTCCGGAATGACATCTCCCTACGATTCAGCAAAAATAGCGATGGACAGGCTTCTCAGGAGTTGGTAGGGGAGTAAAAATAATAATAATAAAAAAGATAATAGCAACAATATTATTTTAATAATAATGATGATCATAATAATAAAGAATAAATGCATAAATAATGGTACACTCATCATCATCATCATCATCATCATCATCATCATCATCATCATCATCATCATCATCATCATCATCATCATCATCATCATCATCATCATCATCATCATCATCATCATCATCATCATCATCATCATCATCATCATCATCATCATCATCATCATCACAGTAACAGCATTTTTTTTTTTTTTTTTAGACAGAAACCAGTAGAGAAATAGAAGAATGTAAACAAGTTGACAGAAAATATGGCTCACGGTGGATGGGCACGTGGCGGTGGGCCCATGCACATGCGCGCACGCACCCATGCACGCACCCATGCACGCACCCATGCACGCACCCATGCACGCTCCCACGCACACACGCATGCACGCACCCATGCACGCACCCATGCACGCACCCATGCACGCACCCATGCACGCACCCACGCACGCACCCATGCACGCACCCATGCACGCATCCACGCACGCACCCATGCACGCACCCATGCACGCACCCACGCACGCACCCACGCACGCTCCCACGCACACACGCATGCACGCACCCATGCACGCACCCACGCACGCACCCATGCACGCACCCACGCACGCACCCATGCACGCACCAATGCACGCATCCACGCACGCACCCATGCACGCACCCATGCACGCACCCACGCACGCACCCATGCACGCGCCCATGCACGCACCCATGCACACACCCACGCACGCACCCACGCACGCACCCATGCACGCACCCATGCACGCACCCATGCACGCACCCATGCACGCATCCATGCACGCACCCATGCACGCACCCATGCACGCACCCATGCACGCACCCATGCACGCATCCATGCACGCATCCACGCACGCACCCATGCACGCACCCATGCACGCACCCATGCACGCACCCACGCACGCACCCACGCACGCACCCATGCACGCACCCATGCACGCACCCATGCACGGACCCATGCACGCACCCATGCACGCACCCATGCACGCACCCATGCACGCACCCATGCACGCACCCATGCACGCACCCATGCACGCACCCACGCACGCACCCACGCACGCACCCACGCACGCACCCACGCACGCACCCACGCACGCACCCACGCACGCACCCATGCCCGCACCCACGCACGCACCCATGCACGCACCCACGCACGCACCCACGCACGCACCCATGCACGCACCCATACACGCACCCACACACGCACCCATGCACGCACCCATGCACGCACCCATGCACGCACCCACGCACGCACCCATGCACGCACCCACGCACGCACCCAGGCACGCACCCACGCACGCACCCATGCACGCACCCACGCACGCACCCATGCACGCACCCACGCACGCACCCACGCACGCACCCATGCACGCACCCATGCACGCACCCATGCACGCACCCATGCACGCACCCATGCACGCACCCATGCACGCACCCATGCACGCACCCATGCACGCACCCATGCACGCACCCACGCACGCACCCACGCACGCACCCATGCACGCACCCATGCACGCACCCATGCACGCACCCATGCACGCACCCATGCACGCACCCATGCACGCACCCATGCACGCACCCATGCACGCACCCATGCACGCACCCATGCACGCACCCACGCACGCACCCACGCACGCACCCACGCACGCACGCATGCACGCATGCACTCACGGTGGATGGGCACATGGCGGTGAGCCAGGGCCGCCAGCAGCATGGAGTCGAGTCCCCCTGAGAACAGCACCACCACTGGTGCCACTTGCTCCTCTCTTTCTCTGCACGCATGTCCTGCTGCTGCTGCCTCTGCTGCCTCTGCTGCCTCTGCTGCTACCAGCTCCTCCGCCCTGCACGCATCTCCTGCCACCGCTGCTACCTCTGCTGCTGCTTCTGGTGCTGCCAGTGGTGCGGCCTCTTCTTCCCTGCGCACACACGCCCCCACTGGTGCTGCCGATGCTCCATGTCCGTCCAGTGGGCCAATGGGTATACCTTTTCCAATGTGCCTTTCCTCTCGAATATGCGTCACACGAATCCCCACCGCTCTATCCAGTGCGGCCAGCACAGCATCTGCTGCTGAGTCAGCCGCATCACTTGCTGCCAGCTCAATACCGGAGTACGCCACCTCAGAGCCATCTGATGCCAGCTCAGCACCTCGGTTTGCCACGTCAGCTGCCATTGGGCGCTGCCACGTCAGCAGTCGCTGGACGGTTTCATCCTCCCACTCATGCCGGAACCACTTCCACTCGTCCTCCCTCGCCCTCACTCCCTCACTCACTCTCAACCCCTCACTCACTCCTTCGCTATGAGATGAGAAAGAAGCAGCATGTGAAGTAGCAGCGCTACGCGATGGAAGCACAGTGCTGTATATCCCGCATGGCAGCTCCTGCCAGAACCCAAACTCGGGCAAACCACTCTGGTCAACCGCTTTCCCACCACCACCTCTTCTTCCTCCTCCTACCTCCCCTCCTCCTCCCTCTGCTCCTATCCCTCCTTCACCACTTTCCCCTCCTCGTAGTCTTGCCCCTTTTTCCAATCTCTCACCTAATCTCTCTACTCTCCCCTCTCCTGCCCGCTCTGCTCTATCCAACGCCCCCTCCTCTGTCCGCGCGTCAATTTCTGCTCTCTCCGGATTGGATTGTTGAGTCGACTCGCAAGAAGCCAAAGTTCCTAGCGACCCCTCCCTTGTCCGCCCTTCACTCTTGCTCTCTCGCCACTCAAGAGACCGGGAGGAAGAGGCGAGGGGCACACGCTGCTGACCACAAAAGTGCTCAGCCCTCCCCTTCCCTCCTCCCCTCTCCCCTCCTCCTTTCTTTCCTTCCCCCTTCTCCCCTCCTCCCCACTCCCCTCAACGCAAGGCCCGTGGAACAGCAGGCTGCGCCGCCCCATGAAGTCGCGGGCCAACCAGAGCGTGCCAGCTGTCGCCTGCCAATAGGCCAGCGCGAAGGGGCCGCGGAGAGAGGAGAGCAGGCGGGGGACGGAGTGGGGGTGGGCGCAGGGGGGGGCTGGACGGGCGGAGAGAGGGGAGGATGGCTGGTCAGGATGGGCGGAGGGAGGAGAGGAGGAGGAAGGTTGTGAGAAGGAGATGGAAGGAACTGATGGGATGTTGCTGCTGCTGATATGGGGTTGACTGATAGTGGTGGTAGCACTGTTATGACCATTCTTGATGCTTGCCGCACTGGTGGTTGTGTCAAGGGCACGTGGGGTGGGGCAGCGGAAGGAGCAGCAGGAGGAGAGGGCGGAGAGAAGGCACTGCGCATCGTTCTGCTCTGGTTGAAGGCCGGGCAGCCCGCCGAATATCTCACCTGCCCAATGTTGAACAGAAAGTCCCGATGAGCAGAGAATCAGACAGCGAAGAAAAGACACAGCTGAAGGCGGAATCAATATTCCATGACATACCCGCTGCAAAGTGAGTTTTTTTTTTTTTTTTTTTTTTTTTTTTTTTTTTTTTTTTTTTTTTTTTTTTTTTTTTTTTTTTTTTTTTTTAAGTTGAATAGCGATATAATCATTCCAGCTGGGACAGTGTGAAAAAATAAGGGTTGTTTATACCGTTAAATAGGAGGACATTGCCGTGCTGATCCATCAGCGGCTGGGACACCTCTCCTCCCTCTCCTCCCTCTCCTCCTCTCGCCTCCCCGCCCATTCCTTGGCCAGCTGCCTGGTACCCACTCCGTCCCTTTCTTTGGGCCGCCTCACACTGTCCTTGCTTGAACCCGCTTTGTCCTCCCTCATTCTCTCCTCCCTTCTCATTTACTCCTCCCTCCTCATTCTCTCCTCCCTCACTTTTGTGGACCCCACCGTCACACTCAACGTGCCCCCCTTCACCACCCTCCCCCCTCTCTGCAGGACCCTGCGCGAGAGAGGAGGGAGGGGGACCCTGCGCCCTGTGATTCATCATCCCCCTTCCTCCCCCCTCTCCTCCTCCCACACTCTCCCCCTCTTTCGCTTCCCCTCCCCCCCCCACGCTCTCCCCCTCCCCCCGAACTTGCAGCACTGAAGCTAGCAAGGACAGGCGTGTGAGGGGACAGCGTGCGGTGGGAAGCGGTGGAGAGGCATTGGTGGTGGTGGGAAACGGCAGCTGAAGGGAGAGGGCGGAGGATCGATCAGGGCCCCTGCGGCTGAGAGAAGCAGCAAGAGACTCGATAGAAGGTGACCCGATACAAGCGCACAGGGGGGTACTCTGAGGCACCTCGTTATAAGCACACACAGGGGGTTGTGGTGCTGCAGAGGCTTTATTACTGTTACACGTGGCGTCCCCTGATTGGCAGCAGCATGCCTGTTACAGTGACATGAGAAGAACGCAGAGGGGAGGACAGACATACGTTCTTAAGCTGAAGCCTTAACTCAATCAATCAAGCAGAGGAGTCAGTTTTATCCATACACAAAAGAGACACTTTTCCTTCCACACAGAAGGGACATTTGGATCCATGCACAAAAGTAAGACTTTTATATCCAATCCATCCCCTTACTCTGGATCGCTCGCTGTCGCACGGCCCGTCGCAGCCGCTCTCTGTGCGACGCCCTGCCGTGCGGCAGCTAACAGTTCGCAGGCGCTGGGCGACAAGAGCGATGCCGCACATAGCGCCGCTTTTGGAGGGGTCGTAGCGTGACGAGGGAACAAGAGTTTTAGGAGCCTTCGAAATCAAGGAACACGAGAAATTCACGGAGAATGCGAGGGATAGGTGAGCGACGCGGCGAATGAGGAGGCCTGGTCGATGAATCGCGGTGAAACGTTTTTTTACTCGCGGAAACGCCGCTACGAGGTGAAGAACGGCGAATTGAAGAATGTCGGCTGTTGCTGTCTGGCCCCTCGGCAAGGAAAGCGGCCTCGAATCTAGGGTCACGCCACGATCAACGCGCCGCTGCTGCTGCTTGCTGCCACATGGATGTACTCGATATGTGAAAAACCGATGCTTCAATGGTGCTGGTTGTGATGTTGAAGTTTTTTTACGGAACGCGCACGCAGTTTGATCGTCGCGGAAGGTTCACAATTTCGCAGCCGGGGGATGGGGCTATCGCAGAGCGACAGTAGTGTTTTGATTCACGAAACCTCCTCGCGAACGCGTGATTTGAGATATTCGCCAAATATTGGGCTTCGTACGTAGGTGCGATACGAAAATTGTTACCAGCACACGCGAGATTGTTTTCCAGTTTGGATGAATTGACGAAGATCGTGTGTCCCTTCGGAGTTACCACTCTCTGTCCCAGAAACCAAAGTGTCTGCCCGAACGGATCGAAACGTTTTGTGAAAGAACACGCCCCACCCCTCCCCCCCCCCCCCCCCCCCAATTGAATATCATAGAAATCTCCAGCTGAGTCAGCAATAGTCGCCTCTTATCCATTCAGGCGCTTCATTCTGAATCAAAATCCGTTCTAATTTTGCATCGCGACGGCTTCTGTCCGAGCAGGCCAATCTTTTCATCGCCACTCCTGGTCGTTCTTTCGTCGCGATTTGCAGCTCGTGTCGAGCTCGCGACGACGCTTTTTCCCGCCGGAGCTGCCAGCCGACGTCGTGCCGAGAAGCCAGCGTTTTGTGCTGCCGGACATCGGACCAGCGCTCCCCGCATTGCGCCCTCCTTTCGGAACATTGGGCTTGCGGACTCCGCCGCACCTGCTCTCCGCATTGCGCCCTCCTTTCGGAACACCATTCGGTGCATTTCCCTTCGCAGCAGATTTCCTCTCCTCACCCTGATAGGCGACTCGGAACATTCAAGAGCACTCGACCCTTATTTAAAAGCACTCCAAAATGGACCCTCGCGCGCTTGCACTCGCACCCTCCGCCCTTTTCCCCGCGCCAGTCCTTTCTTCCGCCTGCGCTGCGCGCGTCTCTCCCGCCAATGGTGCCACACGCAGTCGCACATCCGCCGTTGCCCCTATCCGCGCGTAGGCGGAAAACCAACCTTCCGCCCACCCCTCCACTTCCGCCACTCCCGCTTCCGCCGCTTCCGCCGCTTCCCCCGAAGCCCTCCCCAGACGCTCCGCGCTCGCGGGCGGACTCCTCGCCTTGGCTTCCGCCACCCTCTCCCCGTACCTCCCACTACCCGCCGTCCCCCCCGTCGCGCACGCCGCCGCGGACGCCGCCGCAACGGTGGAAGCCGCGGGCGGAAGCGACCTGCTGAAAGGGCTCCGATCCGCGTTCGATTCGGACGAGCTCACGGCGAGCGGGCGGCGGCTTCCGAAGGCGTACGTGCGGAGCGTGACGGCGCTCATCAGCAGCCTGCGCGACGCGCTGGGCGCGGAGGAGGGCGACCGGGGGGAGTTCCGGCGCAAGGCGGACGTGGCTAAGGGCGCGATCCGCGCGTACCTGGGGGAGTGGCGGGGGAAAGCGCCGGAGAACACTGAGGTGAGCGCAGGGGAAGGGGGGAGTATGCGCTGAGAGGAGGGTTGAACAGGGGGAGAGTTGAAGGCTGAACGTGGGGAGGGCTGAACGAGCTGAGTTATAAACTAGGGGAGTTTTGAACTGCTTGTGGGTATTTAAGGGGAGTGTTTGGGGAAGGTCTCTCGTCAGCAGATTATATGGAGGTGAGCGAAGGAGAGACAGTGGAGGATGCATGGGGGAAGAAGGACTGGACTGAACGCCGGAAGGGTTACAAGTTGCAGTTCATTCAATGCCAAGCGCAGGGGAGGTGAGTGCAGGGGACCGGAAGGAAGGGTGGAACGAACGAGAGGAGGGTGGAACGAGGGGAGGGTGGAACAAGTGGAGGAGTTGAAAGGTGGGATGGCTGAACTCTTTATTCACGCACTTAATGGGGAGTGGCGACGGAAGGTCACTGGGCAGCAGATTGTATGGAGGTGAGAGCAGGGGGTGGGGAAGACGGGGATGGGAACACGCATGGGGGTGGGGAGATGCGTGGGGATGGGAAAGGTGGGACGATGCGTGGGAATGGGAAAGGTGGGAAGATGCGTGGGAGAAACGGTTGAGAGGTTGAAAGGAAGGCTTATTTCACCTAATTCCTAGCGTGGTCGTCTCGTCTCACTCTATCCCAATCGTCTGAACCTCATTGCCCTCTTCCCCCTTTTCCTTCCTCTCCTCCCTCTCCCCGCCTCTCCTCCCTCTCCCCGCCTCTCCTCCCTCTCCCCCTTCTCCTCCCTCTCCCTACGACACCACCATCACCCCTTCTCGCGACTCTGCTCTCACAACGCTCTCCCAGTTTCACATGCCTGATGCAGAAGAATCACTGGCAAGCCTCCCTTTATATTTAAGGCGCCACAAATATTGATTCTGCTCTCACGACACTCTCCCGCTTATACGTGCCTGGTGCAGGGGAATCAATGGCAAGCCTCCCTCTATTTCACATTCACTCCCTAACCTCCTCCCCTCGTTCCCCTCCTCCCCTTCCCCCCTAAACCCCCTTTCCCTCTGCTGCCGTTTCCCTCTCCTCCCCGTTCCCCCGCCTCCACTCCTTCCCTCCTTCCCTCCTTCCCTCCTCGCTCTCCCAATCTCCTCGCTCTCCCAATCAGACCATCAACTCCTCACTCGACTCTGCTCAGAACGTTCTCCCGCTTCCACATGCGCAGTGCAGAGAATCAAACACGAAGCTGCCTCTTTTTCCATTTTCACATTCCCTCCCTGCCTTTCCCCACAACACCCCTTCCTCCCTCTTCTCCTTCCCCCCCCCCCCCAATCAGATCATCACCTCCTCTCTCGACTCTGTGCTCAGAACGCTCTCCCGCTTCTACATGCGCAGCGGAGTCAATGCAAAGCTCCCTGCTGACGTCAGAGACGGGATCCTTGCTGACCTGGCACTTGCAGAGGCTGCGTTGTAATTGGTAGGGCTCGGTGGTGGTTATCCAGTTAAGAAATCTGCAGCAACATCTGTTATTTACATAACAAGCTGCTGATTTAGCTTGAATGCACAAAACACAGCTGAGGCAGTTACGGTATACAAGCTTTCTTTCTAATCTGTTGGCAGCTCCACTTTCCTTGGTCAAAACTTCTGTACGAAACTACAACGAGGGTGCAAATTCGTAATTTGTGCCTCAATAACACACACATTGAGCCATGCCAACCTGGTATTGAACCTTGAACTCCAGTCTCAATAATTTATCCTATTTACTTCACACTTCACTTCACTCGGCGATTCCATTTTGTTGAGCGGAGACTTTGAATGACACAGTAACGCGCTCGTTGACTTTGTTGAAAGTACTCAAACTGACTTGACATGGCTTGGGTTTTTTGCTGGCAAGGTTTAGAGTATCATAAACATTTTGGGTATTACAGATACTTTGTGAAAGGGGAGTTTGTTGCGGAAATAAACCAGTACCCGATTTGATGAAGGCGAGTTGAAGGGTGCAAGCGGCTACAATGTCGAAACCAGCAATAGTTTTCTCCTGACAGGACTTTGGGAGCAGTGATTTCAGGCTGACGTGGCTCCGCTCGAACTACAGCGTCGCAAAAGCGCTCGGCTGGTTCACATTTGCTGAAGTGGCAAAAATTGCAGTCCCAGCGGAATCAGCACTCTTTCTCCATCAATATCGCAGATTAACCATTTCCAGGCTGCGTTCTGCAGGCGCATCAGCCCGCATCAATGTACATTGATGCGTTCTACCACGGTTCTAGGATCATTCCATGATAACCTGCCGACAGGTTATGAAGGCTCGTGATAAGCGCATATCTACCGAAGCAGAACACACCCGAATACCTGCAGAACGGCCATTGTGGCTTTCGAAATTTGTCATGTGATTCCTTTTCAAGAAGCTTCCTTTCCTAGCAGAACGATCTAAACGTATATGTGTCCCATTCAATGTTTTTACAACGAATCGAGAAACGGGCATATGCCCCCAAAGTTCGAGGCCCAGAGCCAATAGGACACGAGTGCCCTGTTACAGACCTCCGTCAAGTGTTTCGAGGCTGAGATGCGATTTCGAAGCTGCCAACCTGGCGCGTCAACGAATCGGGAGCTCCCGAGGCTGCCAACCTAGCTGCCCAAGCAGTTCCGAGAGTTCCGAAGCTTCTTGGGCTCTTGTCCTTCCGACGCGACACGTCGTAAGTATCTTTGACTGTAACTTCGAACACGCACCCCGAAAGCATACCTCTCGCCATCCCCCCCGAACACAGTTCTTACTTCCTCGCTAGAAACGCATGTCAGGTTTCATTCTAAACTTTCATAGGGTTTGGTTCTCACAGGAACAATTTTCGGAAGCTAGAAATCGCTTGACTCGAAGTCGCACATGGCGGACGCAAATTACTACCCTCGAGTCGCGCGTTCCGTGACCGTCCTTCACGGCGCGACGTTGCGCGCTCAGGTTAGTACGACAGCGTGCCTCCTCCTGCTAGTGCTCTACTCTTCACTGACGACGGCTTTCCCGCCTATATCAAGGCAGCTTGTATCGAAGCTACCTGTTGCTCGCCGAGGACAAGGACTCTCCGCGCGGACAGTTCCGCCTAGCGCGGCGCAATATCTCGGTGCGCGGCGGGCGGATAGAACATTATTCATGGATCCCTGCTAGACAGCACCTGCGTCCAACGCAGCGGCCGCCGGAATCAGCAGTGACCCGTCGCAGGCTTCGGCGGCTGACGCGGCGGCTCTCAGGGCGATCTTCGTGTCAGAGTATGTTATTTGTCTAGCCTGCAGTGGGGTACTCAATAGTGAGTACAGCCCGTTAGGGTTTGCTATTTGTACCAACCTGCTAGCTAGTCCAACCATCCTTTTCTCAATTCATGTTTCTGCTTAACTCTCGCTCGAACTTGGCGCCTCCTTTGTAGTCCTACTGTGGACTAGGCTACTAAGCCTAGGTCCTACTGCTTGTATATTTGACATGGTATCAGAGGGCGACATGTCTCTGCCGCCTTCCTGCATGGGCCCACCACCTGCTTCCGCTGTCGTTCTGTCCGCCGCGCGCCCCGTGGTGCGCGGCACTAATTTTAGGGTTTCTGCCCGCCGCGCGCTCGGGGCGCGTGGCGGTTTACCCTTCCGTGGCGCCCGTCGTGGTGCCCTTGGGGGGCATGCGCGGTCCCCTCCCGTCGCCCGTCGAGGCTCTCTCGGGGGCCCGCGCGGCCTCCCCTCCCGTCGCCCGTCGTGGCGACCACGGCGGCCCGCGCGCGGTCCCCTTCCGTCGCCCGTCGAGGCGCTCTCGGGGGCCCGCGCGGCCTCCCCTCCCGTCGCCCGTCGTGGCGACCACGGGGGCCCGCGCGCGGTCCCCTCCCGTCGCCCGTCGAGGCGCTCTCGGGGGCCTGCGCGGCTTCCCCTCCCGTCGCCCGTCGTGGCGACCGCGGGGGCCCGCGCGCGGTCCCCTTCCGTCGCCCGTCGAGGCGCTCTCGGGGGCCCGCGCGACTCCCTTTCTCGTCGCCCGTCGGGGCGCCCTGGGGGCCGCGCTCCTCCCCCCCCCCCTCCCTCCTACCTTTCACCTGCAGCGGCCGCCCCTGGAGCAGCCCGCACCTGCAGCAGCCGCCCCTGGAGCAGCCCGTGCCTGCAGCAGCCGCCCCAGGATCCGCGGGAGCCACCCCTGCAGCAGCCCGCAGCCCGTCCCTTCAGCCCGTCCCGTCCCCCCCCCCCCCCGTGCTGCCCATTGCTCCCATTTCGCCGTGCGTTCCGCGGTGGTGGGGGTGTGGGGTGGCGAGCATGGGGGTGCGAGGTGTGGGTGCTCCCCTTCCCTTTCCCCTCCTCCTTTTTCGTCTCCCACTGCTGCAGCTGCTGCTGGGGGGGGTGGAGGTGTGGGAGCCGAGGGGAGTGGCCCTGGGGGGGTGACGTGGCAGTGGAGCTAGGGGTTCAGCAGGGGGTGTGTGATAGGGGCGTGGGGCAGTTGGCGGAGGTTGAGCGGAGGTCGCAGTCGTGTCGCCAACAGCACTAGTAGTCCGGAGGCTACAATCTCCGGTACTCGCTAGTCGCCTGTGGGTCAGTTGCTCCAGTCAGGAGGCTACAATCTCCGCGGAGCCAGTTACTCCTGCAGTCCGGGCCATTGCTTCGGTAGCCACTGAGCCAGCAGCTCCTGTGTGTCTGCAGCTTCCGCCATCGCCTCCCATCTCCTCTCCTCTCACAGTCCCTCCTCCTCCTCACATGCCCTCTGTGACTACCCCTAGCTTTACTTGGGCTTGTGAGCTATTTTATGATTTCATGCTGTACTGATTATACCCCACTTTGCCTATGGGGGTGTGTCAGAGTATGTTATTTGTCTAGCCTGCAGTGGGGTACTCAATAGTGAGTACAACCCGTTAGGGTTTGCTATTTGTACCAACCTGCTTGCTAGTCCAACCATCCTTTTCTCAATTCTTGTTTCTGCTTAACTCTCGCTCGTACTTGGCGCCTCCTTTGTAGTCCTACTGTGGCCTAGGCTACTAAGCCTAGGTCCTAGTGCTTGTATATTTGACACTTCGCGGCCGCGTTGCTGCCTATCCCAGCAGATAATCCGTGCACGTGGACCGGCGTGACTTGCTGCACCGGCGTTGTTAAGCAGCTAGACCTGCAGCAAAGCCTGGAGGCCATCATCGCGGAAAAGGAAACTTGCGATTTTGGGGGTCCGAAGGTTTTTCTGCGAAAAACCTGCGACTTAGCTGCGCGGAGTGTACAAAACACAACGCACGCAAAATGCAACAAACCGCACACCAGTTTCGAGGGTTTTGACCGATACAAAACTGTCACGCAAAAGTTGCATTTCCGTCAACATTTTCGCGTCATGCGGTGACGCTCGGTCGACACAGATTAGAAGAGGTTGAGCACTGTGAAAATGTTTGTGAAATGTAACAGCCGAAAAAACGAAACAAAGCGACGCCACGAAATCAAGCGAGTTTGTGCAGCTGGAAACCCGCTTCTCGTCATTCCAAAATCTGAACCCAAACCAACCCACTCCAAGCCTCAGTCAGCGGAAGGCTTCTTCAGTGGTGTGACGTGTGATAAGAAACGAGGAATGAGAATGACTAAGGGAAAGTTGGGTACAAGTACAAACCCTAGAAATGTGTTGTACCCCATATGTGCGCTACCCCACTATAGCCTACATAGGCTAAGTCATATAAGCCTGACACACCCCCATAGGCAAAGTGGGGGAGAACAAGGGGTCACAAGACCAGTCAAGCAAAGCAAAGCAAGCTCAGGGTGGATCACAACGTCACCACACAGTCCGAGCACAAGAGCAAGGCCACAAGGCCAGTTCACATGCAAGATCATATATATAAAGGTAAACAAGCAAGTGCAGGTATAGAAAGATCACAGTACAAGCAAGGTCAAGAAGTGAGCAAGTGAGGCCAAGTAGGCACAAGACCTAGCATCGTACAGAAGCGCTGATGATCACAAGGCGGAAGCGCCTTGGTAAAGATATCAGCAGTGTTGGCCTCAGAGGCCACGTAAGCAAGGCGTAGCTGACCACGCTGCTGCAGCTCACGAGCAAGGAAGTAGCGAAGAGCAATGTGCTTCGTTCTGTGCTCCAGTCTGTGCTCCCGACATAAGGCCAGCATGGCCTTGTTGTCTACGTACAGAACTGGAGGAGAACGAGGCGGCTCTCCTAGGTCAGTCAGAAGGTAGGTGAGCCAGCGTAGCTCCTGTGCAGCCATGGCCCCCGCGTAGATCTCAGCCTCACAGCTGGAGGTGAGAACAGAAGACGAGCAGGTAGACCGCCACGAAACAGAGCCGGAGCCAAGGCTGAAGGTGTAACCCTGTGACGACCGCTGTGTAGCCTGGTCGTCAGCCCAAGAAGCGTCTGCGTGACCTGTGAGGACCACTCGACGTCGCCCTCCAAGCACTAGCCCCATGCCCGACGTACTGCACAAGTAGCGCAACACCCTCTTCGCTGCAGCCATGTGCTCTGGTCGGTATCTCCCAGGAGCAACATAGCGT